TATTTTTTTGACCACATCACGTGACATGTGAGATCTTAGTTTCCTGCCAGGGGTTGAACCTGGTTGCCCCCTGGAGTAGACAGTCAGAGTCTTAACTACTGGACCACAAGGGAAGTCCGACCATTAATTTATTTTTAGGTTATTTTATTTCTTTTGGCCATGCCCCATGGCATGTGGGATCTTAGTTCCCCAAGCAGGGATTGAACCCACACCCTCTCCATGGGAAGCACAAAGTCTTAACCAATGGACCACCAGGAAAATTCCCCTCACCCCGAATTTATTTTTAATCTAAGTTCCTTTGGCCACCACCACTCCCCCATCTATGGCCACCTCTTTCTTGGGCCACATCATTCATTCTCAGTTGCTTACGTGCGTGCGTGCGTGCTAAGTCGCTTTGGTTGTGTCCGACTCTGCGACCCCATGGACTGTAGCCAACCTCCTCTGTCCATGGGATTCTCCAGGCAAGAATACTGGAGTGGGTTGCCATGCCCTCCCCCAGGGGATCTTCCCAACCCAGGGATCGAACCTGCGTCTCTTATGTCTCCTGCATTGGCAGGAGGGTTCTTTACCACTAGTGCCACCTGGGAAGCCCCTCCATTGCTTAGGAACCCTCAAAGTTCCATGGGTGGAACAAGTGCTGGTCTTTGAGATGTTAGAAAAAAGTCTTTCCTTCTGGGCAGATGATTAAGGACGGAGCCTCTGCCAGGAATGTTTCAGCTCCCACAAGCCATACCTAACCTACCCTACTGTGTGTGTGGGGGCAGTCTCATATTTTTGTGATAGAAAATATTAGCTTTGAATACTGCCATTTCCACCTCCAGGGGATATTCCTAACCCAGGAATCGAACCCGTGTCTCCTGTGTCTCCTGCATTACAAGCAGATTCTTTACCACTGAGTTATCAGGGAAGCCCAAATATATAGTAAATAAAATAAAAGTCTTCAGCTCATCTGTTACCTTCTTGGAGCATCTTAGATTTCCTCCCAGAAAAATCTCTGCCAATGAGCCTGTGTGTGCATTTTGAACACACACACACACACACACACACACACACACATCAGTGTTCACTGCAGCACTATTTACAGTAGCCAGGACAGAGAAGCAACCTAAATGTCTATTCATTGACAGAGGAATGGATAAAGATGTGGTACCCATTTACAGTGGAATATCGTGCTCTGTGCTCAGGCATTCAGTTGTGTCCTATCCTTTGGAACGCTTTGGACTATAGCCCGCCAGGCTCCTCTGTCCATGGGATTTTTCAGGCAATAATACTGGAGTGGGTTGCCATTTTCTCCTCCAGGGGATCTTCCCAACTGAGGGATCAAATAGGCATGTCTTGCATCTCCTGCAATGCAGGTGGATTCTTTACCCACCAAGCCATTAGGAAAGCCCAGTTGAATATTACTCAGTCATAAAAAGAATGAAATAATGCCATTTGCAACATGGATGGGCCCAGATATTGTCATACTGTGTGAGGTAGTTTAGACAAAGACAAATATATGATATAGCTTATATGTAGAATCTAAAAAATGGCACTAAGGAACTTATTTATAAAACAAAAATCGAGTCACAGATGTAGAAAAGAAACATGGTTATGTGGGAAGGGGGTGAAGGGGGGGTAAATTGGGAGATTGGGATTGATATATACACACTAGCATATATAAAATAGATAACTAATAAGAACCTACTGCATAGCACAGGGAACTCAATACTCTGTAATGAGCTATACAGGAAAAGAATCTGAAAAGAATGAATATATGTCTATGAATAACTGATTCACTTTGGTGCACACCTGTAACTAACAAAACATTGTAAATCAACTACACACCAATAAACACACACACAAATAACTACCTACTCTACTGTAACCCTCTGCTCTGAAAGTTCCTTTTTTACTTATCACTAGATCTCAGCTCCCAGTTCCATCAGCACCTGTGAGTCTTCCTCATCCTTTCTACCTAGCGGCCCAGGGTCATTTAACCAGCCCCCTTCTGCTGCGTGTATTGGCTTCAGGTTCAGTTTGCAAGTGGTCCATCCAGCTTCCCTCATTTCCAGCTTCCCGAGGGACATCTTGCTGTGACCTCAGGGCACAGCACACTCACTTTCTCCTGCCTAAAAGCTCAGAGTCCCTGTCCCCCTTTCTCCCTCTTGCTGCTGCCCTATTTTGCCTCTTTTCACAACCGGAACTCTTCATTTTTCCACAAATAAAAATAGTCTTTCCTTTCAGGTTATAAAAATGGAAACTATTCATTGGGACACACTCAAATGCTACAGGAAAAATACAAAGAAAGTGTATCACCTGCTATTCCCGCCTTTCAGAGGTCACTGGGTTGGCTCGTGTCCTCTGAAGTGCACATGGCCACAGGCATCCTTATGTAAGTGGCGTCATCCCCCCCGTGGGGGTTTAATCCTCTACGATCCTCTCAATCCCCCCTCCCACGTGTGGAACGCAAAGATGGCTCTTGGAAGAGCCACCTGTATTCCCAGGTGTTCCTACCTCCATGACCTCAGTTTGGGTCTCTCAATGGAGACCGCTGTGCGGTCACCAATGGCCTTCCTGTGCTAAGTCAGAAGTTTGGGACGTTTCTGCTTGTCAGCCGGTTGACTGAAAAATGAGGGAGCCCCAGATAGGGAGGCAGGAGCCCTGGGTTCTGGGATGGGCTCCCCTCCCGGGGACCAGCAGGTTGGGCCTCTCAGAAGTGTCTGTCATCACTGAGCACCCCCTTCATGGAACCCTTCTCTTGGATCTAAGCCATCATGCTCACCCCATGTCCCCAAGTCCAGCCTCTTCCCCAGGCATTTCTGCCTCTCATCTGTCCTTCAGAAGTCAGCATTCCTCAGGGGATTCCCTGGCAGTCCAGTGGCTAGGACCCCACAGTCCTGCATGCCATGGGCGAGGTCCAAAAAACTGGGAATAATATCCATCTCATTGAGAGAATTCACTGAGGTGACGCATGTCCTAGTAGGTGCTCAGCACCTACTAGGTGCCTTAGACGCCCTGTCGATGATTATGGCTGAGGTAACTGAGGCTCTGAGAGGGGAAGGGAAGTGTCCTATTCTAATCTGTAGCCACTTCAGGCATCAGTATAAATCGCAGGTAAAACGCTACCCTTCATTCCTCTATGGAGAGCTGGCTCTGGGCATAACTGGGAGACCCTGACTTCGATGCCTTCCCAGACTCAAGACCGGTGTCCTCTAAGTCAGCTCTGGGGTGGTAAGAGGTCCTGGCCTAGGGTACCAGAAACTGGGCCTGCTGCAAGCACTCCTTCTCTTCCTTCACTAGCTTTTGATTAGATTATGTAAAGATATCCAATTAGAGCCCAAGATTCAGAGGACTCTGAACCCCCTGGAACTGTATGTAAAATGTCTGTGTGTACACATGTGAATGCATCTGAGCATTTTTCTGGGAATAGCTTTCTTTAGTTTTGTAAAGGAAGTCTGTGATCCAAAAGATTAGTCACTAGCCTGGTTTAAGCCTCATCACTTTTGACCTGGTCTACAGCCTAAGCCTCCAAACTGGTCTCCCCACTCCTTTCTCAATCCTCCACCCACCACAAGGGTATCTTTCTAAAGTGCAATGCTGCCTCTCTTTCCCCTGCTTAAATCCTTCCATTGACTCCAGTGGACTAAATTTCTTGCGTGATATTTAGAGTCCTTCATAATCTCACCCAGCCATTTCCCCATATCCTGCCACACCCTAATCCATTTTTTTTTCCTAATCCATTTTCTTTGTCTTCACCCTGTCCATGTACCTATCCTCTGCCTTGGCTACACCGAACATTTCTTGCTTCCTGAATGCATCAGGCACTTTCTCATCTCTCATCCTTTGCAAAGGTTTTCCTGTATTCCATTTGACAAACCCCTATTCAGGCTTGAAAATCCAATTCTAGTGCCACTTCCCTTGCAATGTCTTTCTGACATCCCCTCTTTCTGCAATTAGGCACCCCTTCAATGCTCTTACTCCTTTATCACATTTTTCACACTAGATTGTAGTTGCGAGTTTAAGGGTTTGTCACCTGAGTAGGTATGAGGCTCTCCTGGGAGACACCCAAGTAGGTTGCTACTGCTAAGTCACTTCAGTCGTGTCCAACTCTGTGCAACCCCATAGACAGCAGCCCACCAGGCTCCCCCGTCCCTGGGATTCTCCAGGCAAGAATACTGGAGTGGGTTGCCATTTCCTTCAACAAAGCTCTTTTTTTCTTGGAAGAAAATCTATGACCAACCTAGGCAGCATATTAAAAAGGAAAGACATTACTTTGCCGACAAAGGTCGGTCTAGTCAAAGCTACGGTTTTTCCAGTAGTCACGTATGGATGTGAGAATTGGACTATAAACAAAGCTGAGCTATGAAGAATTGATGCTTTTGAACTCTGGTGTTGGAGAAGACTCTTGAGAATCCCTTGGGCAGCAAGGAAATCAAACCAGTCCATCCTAAAGGAAATCAGTCCTGGATATTCATTGGAGGGACTGATGCTAAAGCTGATTCTCCAATACTCTGGTCACCTGATACGAAGAGTCGACTCATTGGAAAAGACACAGATGCTGGGAAAGATTGAGGACAGGAGAAGGGGCCGACAGAAGTTGAGATGGTTGGATGGCATCACCGACTCGAAGGACATGAGTTTGAGCAAGCTTCGGGAGCAGGTGATGGACAGGGAAGCCTGGAGCGCTGCAGTCCGTGGGGTCGCCAAGAGTCGGACACGACTGAACTGAACTGAACTGAACAGGTGCACGTCGGGCTGGGCCCCGCCCCCCTGCTGCCCCGCGGGAACTACGTTTCCCAGAAGGCTGAGCGTCTTGGGCACGCGCACTGGAACCCGAGGAAGCTGCGACGCCGAGTTTCACTCAGGCTGCCTCTTCGTTAGAGTGGGAGCTACAGCCGGAGCAGTGCCCAGGCCGAAGCGGAGCTGCAGTCTGAGCGCGGCGGTGTCCTCCACCCGCCTGCCTCGCTCTCTTCAGTCTCGGTGAGAGGGGCGGGCCGGGCCACCTGCTCGTCGCCTAGGGCTGGGGTCCCGGGGACGCGGGGGAGACCGAGCCGAGCTGGGACCGGAAGGGGGCGGGCGTGGGCGTGAGGGAGGGTTGGGCCAGGCTGGAGAAGCGCTCCGGGGTGAGGTCCCGGGGGGATTGCGGGGACCGGCCTCTAGGTGGAAGTCCCCGGGGGCGGGAGTTGAGGGGATTGAGAGACGCCCGCAGAGCTTTAGGACCGGACGGGTGGGGGGAGCGGGAACGCCGAGGTGAAAGCCGAAGGGCTGGCAAGGGGAGGGGCGCAGACCCTGAGAGTTTGGCCCGTCGGGAGGAGAGTACCCTTTCTCACAGGACCCGGAGGCGGCGGCGGCGGGGCCACCGGGCTGCCCTAGTGAGGGTGTGGGTCCTGCTGGGGTCTGCCTCCCGGTGGACGGCTCCTTGGAGTCGGGGGCTGCACTTCTGAGGAGTTCGCTTAACTAACTCCGCTTTCTTCTTCTCAAGTAAGGTCCGCCTTCCAGGAAGTGCCTCTTCTCTGGAACCCTGGCTCTCTTCTGCGGGGTGCCAGTAGCTTACGCTGTGGAGAGGACTTACAAGACTTCCCTCCCCCTTTGCCCCCGAAACTACCCTTTCTCAGGTCAGCTACTGTCCTCCACACTGGTTCCTCTTCCCTAAGTGCCAGTAGCAGTGGAAATAGTGTGTGCACAGACGCTCGGCCGCTTAAGAAACTCGAAATATTTCTGCATGCCATCGTAGCTCGTCTAGAGTTCTGGAAGGTGGTCTTTCTGGTAATCAGGCTTTACTTAAACCATCAGGGTAACTGTAGCTAGGCTTCTTGTTCATTTAGTGTGCGACCTTGACAAACTTTTACGTTCTCTAGTTTGTTGATTCCTTGGATGCTCACAAAGCAAACTGGCTTACAAAATCCTTTCAGGCCTTTCTGTGGAAGGGCTTTTTTTTTTTCCCTTCCCCTAAGTAGCCCCTTGATTATTGAGTGGGCAGAGGGAGACTACTGTACCTTCTGCTCTGCCCAGGCTGTTGGAAAATAAATCTGGTGGTTTCCAGTCCCCAGCCGCAGCACACAGACCCAACATCTGTGCAGTCGTTTTCACTAACTGCTGTTTCCCAATTTAAAACCCGATCGTCTTCTTCCTTGTTGGCAAAGGTGCCTTGGAATTTGTGTCGCTGAGTCAGCAAGCCTTTCAGATTTGCCCGGTTTTTGTTGTTTGCGTTTTCTATCTAAATGGGAATCTACACAAGTCATTCCTCCTAAGGATCTGGTATCTCCATCAAGAAGGCACCGTTTGTGCCAGCTCTCCACAGAGAAAAGATGAGAGCCACAGGAACTTCACATCGCTGCCTTCCCAATCTGGTTTTCAGTAGAGAAAGTGCGAACTGGGGAGGGGGAAATTTGAGGTCCCCAGTATGAAAGTGAGCCTTGGGAGTGGATTGTTGATTGCCTCCTGTCTCAGATAGATTCAGGTGGCTTCTTGCCAACAGCTTCTCCTGTTTAACCAGTCTTAGAAGCTACTTTCTGTTTTCACACATGCATTATGAGATGTAGGACACAAGTCAGGATTTCTGCATTGGAAATTTTAATTTCTCTGGTCACTTGAACCTTTACTGGGTGCTTCGTTTTTGTCAGGCCCCCTGCTCGGTGCTGAGGGTGCAGTGGCCAGCCACAAAAACTCTGTCTTCCAGGAGCTCATCGTTTGGTGGGAAAGATAAAGAAACCGTAGACAGTGACAAGGTGTTGTCAGTGTGATACATATTGAGGAGTGGGTAGTCACAGGGCAGAGCCCACCCCACCCCACCCTTGCCCAGGAGGGAAGGTCCAGAAGGCTTCCAGAACATGAGAGCCAAAGTGAATTATGAAGAAGGAGTAGGACCCAGGAAGTAGGGGACGAAGCCTGGCAGAGGAGTCAGTAAATGCAAAGTTGTGAAGAGACCCGGCATGTCTGGGTCACTGTAAGTGTGGCTTCAGTGTGACTGGGGCAACCGGATGGGTACAGGGCCGAGAAGCCTTGAAAGGTAGGCAGAGGGCTGAGTGTGGGGGCTTTTACGTGTCATGCCAAGACTTGGGGGATTTTACAGGAGAATTCCGGGAAGGGCCTTGTTAAATGAACACCCTGGCTAGAAAGCGTGGAATGGATTGGATTGGGTCGTTCTCCTTGTGACTGTTTCCTTAGATCACGCCAGCTTCTAGTAAAGGGAGGTAGACAGGGAAGTTTGTGCTCTCGCTGTTCCTGGGCTTGTTCAAGAGATAGAGTGGCCGGAGAGAGCTGTGGAGGACCGATGCAGTGCCGTAGAAGCTGATGAGGGGATTTTCTTGCAAGAGGGCACGTCGCGGCATCCCGGAGATGTTTAACTAGTTGGCCAAGTGGGTGGGGTTCCAGGTAAAGTTGAAGCACAGAGTTGGGGAAACTGGATGTATATGGGGTAGTGGGTCATCACTCTCTGGAAGGAGTCGGGGAGGGGGAAGTGTAGACAGAAGAGGGGTACTGGAGAGAGGTGTGCCGCAGATAGTGTTGATAGGGAGGGACCTGGCTGATGGACTTTCACCGTGGGCCACGGAATGTGAACATTGTTTCTAGACCTCAAATGGAGGTGTGGAAGAGAGAGGGGGGCAGGACTGTATTCCAGGAAGCTCCGCCTTGCCCCTGTCTCTGAGGTGGGTGAAGAGGAGAGACAGTTGGAGAAGCCAGGTGGGAGAGTGTGCTCATCCGGCTGAAAGGTCCCAGCCCGGTGCTCACAGTGGGGGCTGAGGCAGCGAGAGAGCAAGCCAGGGCAGCTGCTGGGCTGGGGAGAAGCTGGAGGAGGGGCAGCCCAGAGCCAGGGAATCCAGGGGGAAAGGGAGAGAAGCAGGGAAGGTGAGTTTGACTTCAGACATGTTGGAGGTACCTAAGAGACAGCAGGAACGGGGCCACGGACGAAGCGTCCCTCATTCATTCCATGTGTGCCCCGGAAGTTGTGTGCTAGGGTTTGTGCTCAGCACTCGGAGGTGAATTAAACAGTCACCTCTGTGGGTTTGTTTTAATATTCATCTCAGATAAACAGAGAACTGGATTGCTCCACACTGATCACCCATTCACACATGGCCTACTTTTATTTGTTTCCTAAGTTTTTTTTAATGAGTGTTGTAAGTTCCTGTATTTCATCCATCCACAACAAAAGCCAGGCTCTTGAGAGAGAATACATATCCAGTTTTTTATCTTTCTTCCCGTTCCCATCCTGAGATATCCATTATCCCCTTGCTTTCATTTTTATCTATTTTATGGTTCCTGGGTTTTCCTAAGGAACCTAAAAAATATTGCTACAATTTGTCCGTAGTATTGCATGTCACTTGGTTCATTTGTCTTGAATATTGAATAATAGTCCATGGTGTGAACAAACCATTTTCTGCATCTGATCTTCCATTGATGGGCGCTTGGTCGTTTCCAGGTTTTTGCTGCTGAGAGAGGGCTGTTCTGAACACTTCTATACATGTTCCCTGTTACACCCACTCAGGAGGTTTTCTTGGGTGTGAACTGAGGGGTGGTGTTTTGCTGGATCATTGGGTAAATAAATATTCCACTTCCATAGCTGTTGCCAGACTCTTTCTGAAGTGGTTGTATGAGTTTGCCCTCGTATACTTTCACACTTGCTCCACACTCTTGCCAACACTTGATATAGGCTGATTTTTTTTTTTTTTTTTTTGGCCAATGGAATGGATATAAAATGGGATCTTTGGGATCATGGTTTCTATGTCACCAAACCCTAATGTCAAGCATCTCTACATAAGCTTATTGGCATGTGTGTTTCTGTAAATTTTATATCTTCTGCCAGTTTTTCTGAGGGCTTCTTGGCATTTTTTTTTTAAATTGATTTGTAAGAGTTTTCTTATGTATGCGTGATTTTAATCCTTTGTGCTTATTGCACATATCTTTTTCCAGCTTACAACTTTCTGTTTTCTTTAAGGCACATTTTGTCGAGCAACCATTCTTGATTTTAACACAGTGAAATGTATCTTTTCATTTATAGTCAGCGTTCTGTGTCTCCTTTGAAAAATCTTTTCCTAACCTTATCCTTGCCTGTCAGGAGCCCATGCCCCGGTGGAGGGGGCAAGTAGATAATTGCACTCCGATGTCACACGGACATTGGCGGTTAGGTGTGGCCACTTCTCCCTGCAGGGCAGGAGTGTGTATAGGAAAGATTTCACAGGGAATTAAGAGAGGAGTGAATGGACAGGTGGAGTGGACACTCTGGGTGGCGGGGCGGGTGGCCATGAAACAGCCTGATCGGTTCTGGGCTGTCCCTGGGGTTGCTGATGGCTGGACCAGTGATGCGGGCAGGGTATCTGAAGAAAGATCTGGATGATCAGCGTGCGTGGAGTTATTGAAGCCGTGGGAACAGATAAGAGAGTCACTGGGGAGTGCAGAGAGGAGAGGTGGACCAGGCCTGATTGCCCGATGCAGGGAAGGTGTGGCTCTGGGAAGCAGCTGGGCTTTCCCGGCCCGGTCCGCATGCCGCCTGTTGTGCTCTCAGGCGTTGGGCGAAGACCGACGAGTCTGCGGAGTGCAGGCGTGCCACGGGGGAGGCTCGCCAGAGCCACAAGCATTCTTCCCGTTTTTAATAGAGAAACGGGTTCCGAGAAGTGCTTCTCAACTATCCGGACAGTGAGAGCACAGCGTGGCTGGCAAACCATAGCTCACGGGCCAAGTCAGCCCACAGCCTGTTTTTGTACATAAAGTTTTATTGGAACACAACCACACGAGTCAGCTTACACGTGGCCCATTACTGTTTTCACACTGCAGAGTTGAGTAGTTGCAACAGATACCCTATGTTCTGCCAAGTCTACAATAGGTACCTTCTGACCCTTTACAGAAAAGGTTTGCCAGCCCCGCCCTGGGGAGTCATGGTAACTGTGGTAACCTTGAGAGCGGTACCGGCCACCACAGTGGTGCAGCTTGTTGTCGCTGGCTGGATAATGAATCTGGGTCAGGCCTGCAAATGTTGCCAGGTTTTCTGGTTTTCAAGAAAAGCTGGAAATCTGGATTGATTGATTTATCCTAATTTTAAAACATTGGCTCAATCTGTAAAATTTACAAACTGTAGTAGGCTGAGCAGATACACCTGGCAGGCTGATATGCCCACATCAACTTCTCCCTCTGCAAACTGATTTGGGAAACCTGTGACTGGGTTTCCCACATAGCTCAGCTGGTAAAGAATCCTCCTGCAATGCAGGAGACCCGGTTCGATTCCTGAGTTGGGAAGTTCCCCTGGAGAAGGGATCAGCTACCCACTCCAGTATGCTTGGGCTTCCCTGGTGGCTCAGATGGTAAAGAATCCGCCTGTAATGCGAGAGACCTGGGATTGATCCCTGGGTTGGGAAGATCCCCTGGAGGAGGGCATGGCATGGCAACCCAGTCCAGTATTCTTGCCTGGAGAGTCCCCATGGATGGAGGAGCCTTGTGGGCTACAGTCTGTGGGGTCACAGACTCAGATCAACTGAGCTGCTGAACACAGCACAGCACATACCTATGACTTCTCAGGCAACTTGCTTATCGTTTGCCTGAGTTTTCTCATTTATAAAACAGAGATAATACCCTGTCCAGGATTGTAAAGATTAAGAGAGAACAGTTAGAAGATACTTAGCCAGCACTGTGCCCGGTAATACATAGTAAGCTCTTGTTGCTGGCCACTGTGCCTGCCATTGCTTCCTTGGCTCCCACATTCTGGCCTCAGGGTAGGCCTGGGAATCAGGGCTCAGCCCTCTGATGATCTGTGGGTGGTCAGTTTGCTCCTGGCCAAAGAAGGGGCAGCGGGTTCTTGGTGCTGGTGGAGGAGGTTGTCCATGGAGCAACTGTCGGTCACCAGGGCCCACCCCCTGGATACTGTGTGGCTTTCTGAACCCCAGTTGGGATAGTCTGCTCTGACCTGCCCTTGGAGGCCCCAGACAGGCACCAGCCAGGACAGGAGTTGTCATTTCCTATCTTGCAGCCCCAGAGTGCAATGGACAACTCAAGTGTTAGTTCTTCAATCCCTCAGAAGCGCAGTAAGGTCTGAGTGGCACTTGCTGGAGCCATCTCTTGTCTAAACCAAAGTCTTACCTTGCAGCGCTCCTGTTGTAATAATCCAGGCCCTTGGATGGTGTGTTTTTTGCACTTTCTGGTAACTCAGGGGTGGGGCATGTGTCTCTTGGCAAGGAGGCACCATGGTGCTTTGACAGGCCTGTTAATGAAACCCCATTGGGATGGGAGTGGCTGTCTAAAGTCAGGATGGTAGGCTACAGCGGTGGGGGTTTGGTTCCTATTTACGATCTTTTGAGAGTTGTGGGCGTTGTAGAGGTTTGTTTCTGATAACAGAAGTAAAACTTTCCCACTTTAAAAATGGGAAAAGTTCAGAAGTTAGACAAAAGGTCTTCTACAGTTTCTCTACTCAAAGGCAGCTGTTAGCATTTGGGTACATTGCTACTGAGTTTTCTCTCTGCTTCTCTTTTACCAAGTCAAAGTAGTGCTGTTGGGAATAGCTTTATGTTGACATTTTCCTCTAATCTCATTAGATAGATTTCTTAATGATTGGGTCAAAGCAAGTGTATACATATATATATATATATATATATTTTTTTTTTTTTTTTTCTTTTGGTTTGGCCTTGCCATGGGGCATTCAGGATCGTGGTTTCCTGATCAGGGATTGAATTCGCGCGCTCTGCAGTGGAAGCATGGAGTCTAACCACTGGATGCCAGGGAAGCCCCCCTGAGTGAACGTTTTTAAACCTCTTGATACATATTACCAGACGGTTTTCTGGAAGGGGTTTATCCCTTCCAGCAGTGTGACTTCTCAGTGTACTCTTGCTGGACTGTGTATTGATATTAAGTTATTTTTATGGCTTTGAGAGGCAGAAAAATAATACTCTGTTGTGTTAAAAACAACACGTCTAGCAGAGTAGCACATTTCTTTGAAATGTCTCTGCACAGGATCTGACTTTCCCAGGTCCATGGGAACACTTTCTGACAGTGCTCGGTGGCCAGCTGCCCATAGCAGGTCTTTCAAGGTCATGCTCTGGTCACTGGTCGTGCTTACCGTGTCAGCTGGTGGGGTGTGGAGTTGCAGGCCCGTGCTTCTGGGAAAGCACCCGAAAGAGAGGCAGCTTAGAAAATAGGGCTTAAGGTCACCCAGTCTCACTGGTCTCCAGCCCGTGCCCCTCAGACGCCTCTGTCCTGCATAGCACCTTCCTGGGCCTCTCAGGGAGTCGGAAATAGAGGGCGCCCTCTGTGGCAGAGCACCCATGTTTTTACATTTTGTGTATCGATGGGAGGCGTACAATCACGTTTGGAAAAGAGTTCTGCTGTTTAAGAGGCTCGAAAACCCATCCAACCCCCTGAGCAGTTGAGCCCAGGAGAGGGGCTGTGACTGTCCCAGGATGATTGTGTGTGAACCCAGGGGTGAACTACCCAGCTCAGGCTTGGGCCAGGCCACTTTGTATTTCAGTGGGATTCAAGGGGGAGGAAATGGGTCCTCACGTGTTGGCATATTGATGGTCCCTCAGTCTGGGCACCAGTTTAAAACCACGCTCGGGGACTTCTTCCTGGAGGCCTCAACTGTAAGGGGATCCACTTGTGTGGTTCCCCGACTTGGAGGCCCACAATTAGGCGGGATGAGTTTCACTCGGATTCCTGTGTCAGCTTAGATCTTGTTCTAAAGCTTTCCTAAATCCCCTGGGAATAGAAAGACTCTCAGACACATGTAACTCTTTTGTGTCAAACACCTCTCTGGTGGAACAGCAGGGCCCCGCTGTGCCTTGGGGCCGGGGGCTGGGAAAGGGTTGGTTGTGGCTAAATCTGAGGGAAGAATGCAAGGGAAGGCAGGATGGTTTTTCTTGTGGTCAAGTTGTTGATACATTTTTTAAAGATAATTTTGGTCCAGCCATATGATCGTTGTAGAACATCTGCCAGTGTAGAGAGAAATAAAGAACGTATATCCCATACATAACTCCATTGCCCCTGGTAACGTGTCAAGAGTTGTTCCTTCCAGCCTTTTAAAAATTAGCTTATATAACGTAGAAAGAACCTGGGCTTCATGGTGTCACAGACCAGCCACCTGACCTTGAATAAACTTTTTATTTCTTTTGGCCTTAGTTCCTGCGTGTGTAGTTTGGGGATAATTTCTACCTTTGGGGGCGATTGAGGGTAGAGAGAGCAGGATGACAGGAGTGCTGGGCAGAGTGCCTGCTTGTAGTAGACGTTCAGTAAATGGTGCACCTGCCTACCTGAGAGCACAGTGTGTGTGGTTACGTACCCTGTGTTTTTAATTTGCCCTGAGAATGATGCTAGGTCTGAAAGCCTTTTAAAGACTCACATTCCATCATTGGGATGTACCATAATTTACTTCAGAATCCCCTTATTCCATTATTATAAAGTGTTTAGGTTGCCCCCAGACTGAGGGTTTTTTTCCCATGGTCAATTAGAATAATAGTTTTCATAATTAAGGACACCCTAAATAGCCCCATCATTAAGAGCCAAAACAAATTAGGTTTTTGAACTGCGGCTTGGGGATGGTTGAGGCTGTAGCAGAGAATGGGTGCCTTGACTGGCTGCTGCGTGTGTGTAATTGCTGCCTTTGAGGGGGAACAGCAGTGGGCATTCTGGGCCTCGCCCCAGGCCCCTGGAGGGAAAGGTGCTCCTCCCCTGTTGTGTGTGTTTCAGCCCCTCTGGGATTTGAGGCGTTTGAAGAACTGCAGCTCCAGCGTTGGGTCGGCCTCAGCTCTGCCCTCTGGGAGTTCCCGTTGTGGGGGGTGTGGGAGGGGGGACAGATGCTGAAACCAGTAAATGTAGTCTGGTTCGGATAAGTGGGATATGCAGTGAAGATGCACAGGAGGGTGGAGTCCGCACTTTCTGGTGAGGGCCTGGTCAGAGGGCTCGGAAGGGGTGCTCTGGCTGAGTCTGGAAAGATGGGCACATTTGCTGGGGGCTCAGATGTGGAGAGGATGGGAATCTGGACACGGGCAGCAGGATCCACGGCTGGGAGGTGGGAAACAGTGCCGAATGTTCTGGCACTCGCTAAGATTTGATGCAGCTGGACAAAAAGTGGAGGCCTTGGTATTAGTGGGGACAGTGGCCAGTCACAGAGGGGCTGTGTGCTGGGTCTTTCTCATCGCTGGGTCTCCAGGACCCTGCCAGCCTGGACCGTGGTGTGCCTGCAGTCTGCAGCTCTAGCTGAAGTTCTCAAGTGGAGTTCTCAGGCTGTTTGGCAGAGTTCTCCAAGTCGGTTCACCTGGGGATGTGTGGGCATGCTGGAGCATACCACGTGTGCTGGTAACTGGGAGGCTCCCCGCTCCGGCTGAGAGATGAGTGATGCCTGTCAGGAGGTGCCGGGGGAAAGTCTGGGCTCAGGAGTAATTGGCCCCGAAACCAGTCCTGTGATTTGTACCTGGATGTTGTTCCAGGGACCTCTAATTGCAGGCGCTGAGCTAATAAACCCTCCAGCCATCTCAAGGGCATCCCGGGCCTGGTTCTCCAGGGTGGGAGGCGTGCTTCTGTTGAAGTGGTTACAGCTCAGGGGTGGGCCCGGCTCCCCCAGGTGTGCTCAGAGTTATCTCGGGCCTGACTCACCACCTGTGCTCTCAGGTAGCACGGAGCCGCCCTGGGCCACCGCTCCTCCCCCAGACTCGGGGGAGGCAGGGGTGGGATGGAGCGGGCAGGGAAAGGGAGGGAGGCCTAGGTCTGCTGATAGCTGCTGCGTGCCTGACGCGCACCTGTCCGTCTGAGTCCCCGAGGAGAGCACTGAGAGTCGAGGGTGATGTGGCCGTGTCCAAGTGAAGTCAGGCTGGGAGTGCCTGGCCACCTTCATAGAAGACACAGCGAGTGGAGCGCAGTGAGTAAGAGCTGTGTGGACACCAGAGCCCATGCCCCTTCCTTTTCACGTGCTGCTCCAGGTCTGCCTTCCTCATGGGGCAGACGGTCTCAGCCTTCTTACGGAAACCCTGCTGGAGTGCAGTCTCAGGGACAGCAGCGAAAGCCCAGGGCACCAGCCTCATTAGTGGCCATGTTAGCAAGTCACTGAAACTTCCAGGGCCTCAGTTTCCTTGTCTGCAAAGTGGGAACAAAATTCGATGCCTGTGCTTAAGGGGGTTGTGTGGGAACTAGAGCAGGTGCCGTGACTGGGACCCTCTTGGCACCAGGGCCCTCCATGGACATCACAGCTCAGGGTGCTCACGGCTTGAGATGCAGGCTTCTCTTCCCTCCCCCTCTTGCCCCCTCTCTCCCCTCTAAGCGGGGCCTGGAAACGGAGCTCGAAGCAGAGCCCAGACCGAGCCTTCCCTGCTAAGAGAAAGCGCATTAGCTAGGGTTGACCTGGGTGTGCGCTCGTGCCGTCACTCAGCAGTGTGTGTGTGGCCTTCCGTAACGCCTTGACTTCTTGGAGCTTTGGTTTCCTGTCCATAAGGGGAGAAATACGGCCTGGACAGTCTGTTCCTCCTAACTGAGACGAGTCCCTCTGGTGTTTGTCACTGAACATCAGCCCTGTTCCCCTCGCACCCCCGGAGCTGGTGCTCTGGGCACTGTGTCCACAGCGCCCCTCTCTCCTTCAGACACTTGCAGGTGCTGGAATCATCATCTGCTCCTGAATTCAGCCGTGCTCAGAGCTAATCCCTGTCAAACTCATGCTGCTTGACATGGTCTGTGCTGAGGCTGGTGATGTGGCTGTAGACAAGGCCGACTTGGGGGTGTCTGCCATCTGAGGGGGACAGAAAGACATCACCCCCGCATATGTTCCATGGTGCTGGGGAGGAGAAGTTCATGTGACAGGTGGCCTGGGAACACCCTGAATGATGCAGCTAGGCGGGGGTGACTGGAAGAGGAAGGTCTTGGGAGATGGGTATAAAGTCTCTGGAACTGGCCACTGGTCAGCGAGACCCAGGCCCCGGGAGTGGGGCTCAGAGAGGCTGGAGAGAGAGGACCTCAGCATCCAGGGGATTTGAATGTCCGTCTCAGGCTCCATGCTCCGTGGTTAATGGTGCGGGAGGCCAAGGTGGCCTGGAGGCCTGGGTGGGACTAGGAGCCACCCCAGCTTTGAGTCCCTGTCCTGCCATTGACCCCTGGGCTGGCCTTGAGCCCCAGGTCCTTTCTGAGACCCAGTTTTGTTTTTTCCAATCTGTAACACCACAGGTATTGTGTCTTACAAACCTACTTTGGAAACTGGCATCCTCACAGAGGTATAAAGGGTCCTCATGGCCCCAGTCCACGAAGGATTTGAGGTGACTCGTGAAAATACGCTGTAAAAAGATACACTTAGTAGCTGGGCCAGAGGGAAAGTATTGGTAAAAGGACAGAAGCAGGGCTGATGGTTAGCACCCAGAATTCAGTCACTGTGTCTTCCTGGACATTTGTAGAGGTAAGAGCGCTGCTTGACTGACGCTGGGTTCTTGCTGGCTGCCTGAGCAAGGAGACAGGATGAGGTATTTGGTTCACGAAGCTTTTAAGGTATTGGGGGAAAGTGACTGGAAAAGCATGATCTTTTTTGCTGCACCCGGACCGACTCCAGCAGTGCCACCGTGTGTGGGTAACCGCTTGTCTGTCTTGTTTACAGGTCTCCTGGCAGCACTGGGCAATGAACCCGAGACTCCAGCCCAGCGTGGTCTGAAGCCGTTGGAGAAGACAGGGCGTCCTGGGGAAGATGGCCATGGCGCCGAGCCCTTCCCTGGGTCAGGTGTACACCAGCCCGGTGGCAGTGGCCGTGTGGGAGTGGCAGGACGGGCTGGGCACCTGGCACCCCTACAGCGCCGCCGTCTGCAGCTACATCGAGCAGCAGTTTGTGCAGCAGAAGGGCCAGCGCTTCGGGCTGGGGAGCCTGGCCCACAGCATCCCCTTAGGCCAAGCCGACCCCTCGCTGGCTCCTTACATCATCGACCTCCCCAGCTGGACGCAGTTCCGCCAGGACACTGGTAAGACCCTTCCTGCCTCTAGCGTGTGTCTAGGTGCCTCCTTCGGGCTGGGCATTGTGCTCTGTGTTCGGGTCACAGAGTAGACTCTCGGCGTCATCCTGCCTCTGAAACACACAGGGTCAGGAGGCGGACGTTGAGGGATAGCAGGTACCACACAGTGTGTGAGGTACCACTTGGTGGAACAGGGTGCCTTGAAACACAGCGCGGAGGCCGTCCCCGCCCCGTCCCCCTTGTCTCCCAAAGCAGAACTCCCTGCTTCCACCTGTAGAGAGTCAAGGGTCTCGCGCGCAGCAGGCAGGCAGGCCAGCCAGCATGGGGGTGGCATGCTGTGCTCGTGAAGAGGGCCTGGTGGTGAGTTCTGGCTCCTGAAGCACAGTCGTGGCGCCAGGCAGGTTACCTCACTCTCCTGGGCTCTCAGGTTTCTTTTGTATGTGCATATTAATAGTGTGGGCTTCCCCGGTGGCTCAGTGGTAAGGAATCCATCTGCAGTGCAGGAGACCTGGGTGTGATCCCGGGGTCGGGAAGATCCCTGGGAGGAGGGCATGGCAACCCACTCCAGTGTCCTTGCGTGGAGAGTTCTGTGGACAGAGGAGCCTGGTGGGCTACAGCCCATGGGATCGCCAAGAGTTGGACACGGCTGAGTGACTGAGCAGCAGCAGCCTTGACCAGTGTTACCAAGAATGGGGCCACCAGCTTCTTCCCAGAGCTGTGCCCTGTCCCTCCAGATCAGTGGTTCTCAGCCGAGGGTGACTGTCTCCCGGTACATTGGGCAACATGTGGGGACATTTTTGACTGTCAGGACTGTGGGGTGCGTGCTACCGGCATCTAGTGGGTAGAGGCCTGGGACGCTACAAAATAAACATCCTACAGTGCACAGGACCGGCCCCACAACAAGGAACTGTTGGCCCCAAACGCACTGGTGCCCAGCCTGAAGAATCCGGCTCTGATCCCACAGCAGCCTCCTCGGGGGTGTCAGGACTCAGGCTTCCAGGCAGCGGATGCAGATAAAAGTCCCGGCCCTCATGACATTTGCAGTCACCGAGAAAGGCAGCAAGCAAGATAAATAACTTGTGGCCCATGTATGGTTGGGTAGTGAGTGTTTATGAGGGTGTGTAATGTGTAGGGAGAGGTTATTCTGAAGTTTGAGCTCGTGTGGCCTGGTCACCGGGAAGGGCCAGGCACAGACCAGGGGAGGGGCAGCTCGTGCAGGGCTTTTCTGTCCCTTGAAGGGACTTCAGTTTTTCTTCTGAAAGGAGGAGGCCCTGGAGGGCTTGGGCAGAAGAGTGACATCATCTGATTTGGGGGTTAAGTGTATTGCTCTGGCTGCTGAGGTCAGGAGACCAGGTAGAGGTTAATCACAGTAATCATCTTTCGGCAAGTATTGTTGGAAGCATGGCCCAAATTGATTTTTTCCTTTCTCCTTTCCTTAATCATGCGATTTGGTTTGTTCATATAAGCTAACCACAGATGTTTCCTAATAGTTGCTACCTGAGAAGTCCAAGGGAATCCAGGTACATCCATGTAAGAGAAGTCTGTAAAAGTTAATGAGTTTCTGGGACTTCTCTGGCCGTACAGTGGTTAAGACTCTGCGCTTCCACTTTGCCAGGGGTCACAGGTTTCTTCCTTGGTTGGGGAACTAAGATCCCACATGCCATAGGGCCGGAAAAAAAAAAATTACAAAAAAAGTTAATGAGTTTCACAGAGTCTTAGACACCTAAGAACTACTTATGGCATCAGTTCAGTTCAGTTGCTCAGTCGTGTCCGACTCTTTGCGACTCCATGAAGCGCAGCACGCCAGGCCTCCCTGTCCATCACCAACTCCCGGAGTTTACTCAAACTTATGTGCATCGAGTCGGTGATGCCATCCAACCATCTCATCCTCTATCGTCCCCTTCTCCTCCTGCCCCCAATCCCTCTTATGGCGTAGTATATGGAAATAGGAAAGGTTTTCATTATGATTGTCAGCTGCAGCTTAACATATGTGCTTAAATGACTGGATGGGTCGGAATATATTGCAGTATACGAAGTGTGCTTTCCGCTCAGTGGTTGGATTATGGATGATTTCATCTCCTTCAGGCGTTTTTGTTTTGGTTCCTTCGGTCAGCCCACACAGGTTTCATCATTAGGAATATTTTGAGAAGCCTCATCAAGTCTGAGCCACAGCTGGTCTTTGACCCAGTCCCCTAGTCCAGCTGAGAAAGGCCAGTTCCCCTCTGCCACTTCGTCCCTTGGGTCCACAGTTTCTCTGCACAGAGGGCGCACTCTACCTTTCATCCCAAATTTGGAGAGAGTCATTAGTGTCAGCCTTTAGGTCAAACAGCAGCATGACCCATGTGTATATACCGTGACCACTTTATCTTATGTTGGTTGTAGGGGAAAAAAGGAATTTTAAATTCCCTTGGTTTGAGGGTGGTGAGAGGCCGGCAGATGAGCTGTTTACGTGCATCCTTCCATTTAACACAGGCACTATGCGGGCCGTGCGGAGGCACCTGTTCCCGCAGCACTCGGCCCCTGGCCGGGGCGTCGTCTGGGAGTGGCTGGGTGACGACAACTCCTGGACGGCCTACGAGGCCAGCGTCTGCGACTACCTGGAGCAGCAGGTGGCCCGGGGCAACCAGCTCGTGGACTTGGCGCCCCTGGGGTACAACTACACCGTCAACTACGCCACCCACACGCAGACCAACAAGACTTCCAGCTTCTGCCGGAGCGTGCGGCGCCAGGCGGGGCCCCCATACCCGGTGACCACCGTCATCGCTCCGCCGGGCCACACGGGGGTGGCCTGCTCTTGCCATCAGTGCCTCAGCGGTGGTACCACCGGCCCCGTGTCAGGCCGCTACCGCCACTCCATGACCAACCTCCCTGCCTACCCCGTCCCCCAGCCCCCCCACAGGACCGCCATTGTTTGGGGCACCCACCAGGCCTTTGCTCCATACAACAAGCCCTCCCTCTCCGGGGCCAGGTCAGCGCCCAGGCTGAACACCACCAACCCCTGGGCCGGGGCGCCGTCCTCCCTGGGGAACCCGCCCCTCTACCGCTCCAGCCTCTCCCACCTGGCGTCGCAGCACCAGTCTGCAGGACTGTCCACCACCGGCGCAGCCAGGTAGCTTGTGTTTCCAACAGCTGTGTGTCCAGCCACATGCCTTGTCAGGGCCTTGGGTTTCCGCCTTTGTTTAGCTGGGAAGGCTCCCCCAGTGCCTTGCAGACCCGGCACCTGCCTCCTTGGCGGTCCCCGCTACTTCGTCATCTCCTTTGCATGGGTCACGTGGTGCCAGGGGACCACGGCCATCCACAGCCTTGTGTCCCACCGAGCCTCCGTGACCTCTGACACGCGAGTGCTGGTCGTTGCCACGTGGGTTAAGAACCAGTCATCCGTTCGTTTCCTCAGGAGAATCGGGCTCTCTGAGCAGTTAGAGGTTCTTTGGCTGTGCATGTGTGCCCATAGCTGGGTACGTGAGGACATTTCACTGATTCCCGCTATGTGCCCAGCCCTGAAATCACAGACATGGAAGGTTCAGTCCTCTCCCTAAGCCCATGGCCTTGTCTAGGGGAAGGCTGGAGCCCAGTTTTCGTGTAACGGTTGAGGAAAGAGCAGAATGCTGAGCACGTGGGGGTGGCAGCAGGTGGTGTAGGGCATCCTGAGAAAGTGAGAAGATGAGCCCCATCTAAGTTAGGTGACACTTTATAGTGGGAAAACCCTGGAGTGGCCAGCATCCAGAAGTGGTGGATGCTTCTGGGGGTGCTGACACCTGTTCCTGACCAGGGGCCTCAGCGTTGATCATTAGTGAGAGTTGGGCCTGCAGAACGTTTTGAGGATTCGCAGTGGTGGCCGGGAGGGGGGCAGATTTCTGAGAGAGGGTGACCTGGGCCTGCAGTGACTGGATGTGGGAACCTGTGGCTGCCCTGTTTCCCGGAAAGTCGGCATCTTGGTTCCACCTCGCTCACCCAGCCCATCCCAGCCCTCCTGACCACGAGGAGGGCCGAAGCTTCCTAGTGTGGCTGAGACCTCCTTGGCAGCTTCTGGGGCCTCTAGTGTTTTCTCCAGAGGACCTTTCCAGCTTCAATAAGACAATGACAACTTCACTCACCGAGCACCCATTACAGCCAGGCTTGGTTTTCCCAGATCCTCCTAATGTCCTGTAGTGGGTGGTGTCCCCAGATTCCAGGGGAGCATGTTGAGGCTGGCGGGATTAGCAGCACAGCCAGGACGTGGCAGAGCTGGGCTCAAACCCAGGCCCCTTGTGGGCCGCATGGGGCACGTGGAGCTCTGGAAGCCATCTGAAAGATGGAGTGAGAGGAAGACAGGGTGTCCTGGCGGGTGCGTGCAGAGGCTGCCGGTGCAGAGGAGAGGCTGGGCCCACTGGGTCCTGTCGTCTTCCTGCACGTCTTTTCCTTTCTGAAGCTGGGCCTTGTGGATCTGAGGTCTTCCTGGGAATTGGAAGCACGGGTAAGACTTGGGCCTTCTCCAGAGACATAAGCATGCTGGGCTCTGTGCCAACCCAGTCCCTCCCGGTGCCCTGCGAGGCCCCTTCCAGTACGTGGGTTAGTCTGTTTTAGAGAAAAACACGTCACATCTGCCAGCCCAGAAGGGTTATCAGTAAGGGTGAAGCCGCTTTTACGACTCGGTCAGCTTTGCCCAGTCTCCTGGGGCTTGTGTTCTGACGCATTAACTGAGGCAGGTTTCTCAAAGGTTCTAGAGCTGGGATTCTGGGAGGAGCCAGGTGACCACTTGGGCCTTGTTGCTTTCTTCTGGCACGGGGCTCCCATTGGTCTCCCCTGAGATTTCTCCGGAGTCTCCCCTCCCCAGCCTGAGGGCCCCATCCAGGCAGGTTGCAGAAGGGGAGGCGGTGGGGCCAGATAGCCTCACGTCTGCTGCTTGGTCGTGCATGTTGCTGCTTGCCTTGCCGCCCTGCCTTGTAAACCAGGTGGGAACTGGGCCAGTCCAGTCGGCTCTGGTAGGTGAAGCAGGGTCAGAGGGGCCTGCCTCCTGACGGGGGGTTCACCTGGACCTCCTGGCCCATCTCTTCAGGAGCGGGGAGGGGCATCTCACACTGGCAGGGGTCGGTCTTCCCGCATCTGACTTAGTGTGTGGCCCACTGCAGTCAGCTGTCTCTGATGGCTGTTGTAGAGCCAGAGGGGGTCTAATTAATCCCTGACCTCTTCACCCAGCCGGGCTGGGAGGATTTGAAAACACTTGGCACCTCGGTTCTCTTGCGGCCGTGGTGTGGTTTCTCCAGGCCAAGTGAACATCGGCAGCGTCAGGTGAAGTCACCAGGTGTGAGGAGGAGAAGACGATGGGGTGGGCAGCGCCACGGACTGGGGAGACCTGGGAATCAGCAGCGTTTACTGGTAGCCCCTGGGGAGGACCTGTGAGTGAGCGAAATGAAAGTTTGTGGCGCCCCTGTGGGTTCTTTTTTTGGAACCCATGTAGTTTCAAATCCCTTCTTGCTCAATCCGGGTAAAACCTCGGCTGACAGATTCGCCTTGTGCCCCAGGAGCTTTTCTCTGAGTAAGTAATCCATCGGGAAGATACGTGATTTGTCACTGAGCCGCTGGGTTTAAGTAAATTTCCTGGTAGCTGAAGTTTATCCCTTTAAGCACCAAAACTTGTGTTTTAATGATGTTGGATGGAAGACTTTCCAAAATGTGTCACGCACACATTGTTTAATAGCGGGTGTGCCAGCCAGTTTAGTTCTCTGCTGACTCAGGGCTGTGATTACGAGCAGCCCTCTGTTACAGCTTCAGTGTGGCGAGGCCTCGGGGGTCTTTGCCCCTGCACTTACCCAGCCTAGGAAAACGGCTCTCGTTTTCTTCCATCTACTCTGTTCTTGTCGCTACTGTTCTCCCAGCCTCTGAAAGTTGCATGCTGCTCCCTCCTGCTATCAGTCAGGCTCTTTAAACCTGTGGGATTGGGGTCCTGGACTCCAGTGGGACCTGACTCCTGACTCACTTGCTGTGAGCCCTCAACTCAGCTCTGTTCTCTCTCTCCATCTCTCTTTTCCCCTTGTAAGATTACCAGATTGGCCGGGGCAGTTGCCTAAGTTTCCCTTTGCTCTGACAGGGCTGTGGTGGTCAGGATTTGGTGAGGGCCCCGTGGCTCTCCAGAACCGCCTCGCTCCACTGGGACCTGGGACACAGCGGGCTTGCACTGTTCACTGATCCTGGCAGCCACCGTGGGGGCCCTGGGGGATGATCCTCCTCTTACAGAGAGAGAAAGTAAAGCTCGGAAACAGGACTCGACGTGCCCCACAGTGGGCGCTGGCAGTGGGGTCCCCAGGCTCTGAATGTATCTTCAGTGCCTTGTACTGCACGTGCTCAGAGGGTCCCCCGTGGGGAGCTGGAGGGAGGCTTTGCATGCCTTGCTCTCCTGCCTCCTCATTCTGCCGCTTGGTCAGGACTGTACAATCCTGTCCAAGTAGAAGATGAGAATCTCTGTCTTGTGTTCTTGGCTCCACTTGGAAGCTCCTGGAGATGGTTTCTCAGTTGGGAAAGGCAGGGACGGCCTAGTAGGTAGACCCAGGAACCCAGCAGGCAGGCAGGAGGCTGGTAGGAAGGAATTCTCAGAAGGGCACTTTATGGGCAAATGGTGCCCACATCAGGGAACATTCTGCCAGTCTGAGCTCTTAGCGGACAGTGCGGGGGGATCTGTGACCTCTGAGGCTCTGTCTGCCCCTCAAAGTTCCCATTGTGGGAACCGCTGGATCCTTTCTCTGTCCCTTCTGATCACAGCAGAGAAATGTGTGGGGGAGGAGCTGGGGAAAGTTGCAGGGGAAGTGACACCGTGAGACCCCTAGGCAGATGGAACTTTCATGGTTCCTGGTCCGGTTCCCAGGTGAGTGCCTGTTGGAAGCCTTACTGCCTGTCTGCTTTCTTCTCTCGTTCCTGTGGTAGAACCTGAGCCTCGGCCTTCTCTCTCAGATACAGACCTCTCGCCAGCAAGGGAAGACCCCGCTGCCCAGCCCACTGGGTTGCCCCGTGGAGCAGCAGAGCCAGGCTTTGGCCTTCCCGCTTCCTGGCTCATTGCTCCCTGTTGAGTTGGCTTAGGAGATGAAGGACACCTCCAGGGACTATATCTTCTCCAAGTCCTTCACTCCTAGAACCTGAGAATTGAAGAAACAGACTCAGGAAGGGGGTGGGGTGTGGCTTCACATTAAACAACTTAGTGGGGCCAAAGCCTTAGCCCAGATGACTGCATGCCCGCCCTTCCCCCACTGCCTTAGCAAAGCATCCAGGCCCGGTCCCATTGTCCTCTTGGGGCTGACGATAGATGATAGACTTGGGCGGCAGGAAGCGTAAGACATGGCGGCAGTCCAGAAGTGAAAACCAGTACCATCCAGTATGAGATTTTCTGATGTGGACCAGAACCAGCCAGCTCCCTGTTGCGTCCACTGATGGCATCTGTGACACGAGGCTGGCGGTAGGCAGGGGCCCGGAAGAGCTCCCAGAAGCATTTGCCACCACTAGGTGGCTGCTGGGCTGCTGGCCGTTGTGAGGGTAGCACAGCAGGCTGGAGGCATTCATTGTTTCCTGAGCACCTTCCCGGCTCCTGGCCACAGGCTGAGCCCAGTGAACCCAGGCCCTGTCCTTGGGGAGCTCCAGTTAGGGACTTAGGACCCTTCCTACTGTATCATCTTGAACATGAGCAGGGCTGGAGGGACACAGTCACTGGGACAGGGAGGGAGTAGCAGGCATCTCAGACCATCTGCATCAGCCGTCTCCAGTATGGGGCTCCCCACAAGCCATGCTGGCATGGATTTATTACCATTTAAAAATATAATGGCTTCCCTGGTGGTCTAGTGGCTAAGACCCTGCGCCCCCAGTGCAAGGGTCCCGGGTTCAATCCCTGGTCAGGGAACTAGATCCCACATGCTGCAACTAAGACCTAGTACAGCCAAATCAATCAACAAATATTTTTAAAATGAAAAAAATATAATCACATACACACATATATATAATGGCTTAAAACCAAGTGAAAGAGTTGGAATTAGTCACTGTGGGAAGCAAGACCTTCATTAAAAATGTTTTTTTCCTTTATTTTAAACTAATTTTGGATTTATAGGAAAGTTACAAAGATAGTGGAGTTTCCATATCTCTCTTACTTGACTTCTCGTGTTAACATCTTTCATGATAACTGTAGGGCAGTTGCCAGAACCAGCAGAGACTCACTGTTGGTGTGGGACTATTAGCTAAAGACGTTTCTAATTTTCATCAGTTTTTTCTGTGGTGGTCTCTTCCTGATCCATGAACCCACTCTGCATCCAGTTGTCTTTCCTCCTCTCCTCCTCCTCTGGATAAAACTGCTCCTCAGTCTTCCTTCATCTTCCGTAACCTTGACACTTTGGAAGAGTTACTTTTGTCAAATGACCTTAATTTGGTTTCATCAAATGATGTCTCATGATTGGACTGAGGTTATGCTGTTGTGGCAGAAACCACAAAAAGGGTGTTAATTTCCTTCTCAGAACATCTTTTCTTGGAGTTCCTTATGATGTTTGGCCCATTATTGGTGGTATTGGTCTTGACCACTAGGAGTGGTTCCCGTTGGACTTCCACTCTGTGGGTACCACAGAGCCCTCATTTCGGTGAAGCTGGTGAGCTCATAGTTGTTTCAGGATTTGTCTTCATAGTCTCAGGATTGTCCAGGAGAGCATTTTTTGACAGCCAGCGCTTCATTCTCCACACCGTGTAAAAAGATGAGTCTCGTCCCCAGCCGTGTTCTTCCCTGCCCAGTGTTCCCTCCCCTCTCCAGTGCCCCACTTGGAGTCTGACTTTTGTTGTTTGATTTTCATGGAGGAAGTGCTTTCGAGAGTCGTGACCATCAGACCTCTTTGCTTGTCCTTCGACATATTATTCATCAGGATCTTTCCTCTTAAAAAGAAAAACCAGAAGCCCTCCGCGCACAGAGGCCGCTGCGGGGAAGTGAAACCGCAGAGGGGCCTCGGCAGCACCAGTGTCTTCCTCACTGGCTGTTTCTGCCAGGTCAGCTCCTCACATTAAACTCTGTCCCCTTCTTCTCCCCAAGTGCCTCCCTGCCCAGCGGTTCGGCCAGCAGCCCCCGGAGCGTCCCCGCCACGGTGCCCGTGCAGATGTCGAAGCCCAGCCGGGTCCAGCAAGCCCTCGCAGGTAGGCAGGTGGTCCCTGGTCCAGACATGTTCGCCGGGGGTGGGAAATGCGTGGGGCAGGGGGAGGAGATTGTGGGGAGGGGGTCTTTTGACCCTCCGTGTTCTTGTGGAAACCCACAGGGGCTCCTTGGGGGGCAGCGCCTCTTTTCAGTGATGATGACCCCCTGCCCCCGTGAGTGAGCCTGGGTGCCCCCTCATTTGTCTCAGTGCTGGGGGGATCATACCTGATGATGGTGGATGCCCGGTGTGGACATTCTCCATCTTTTATGTTTTCACATCACCTTGAATCACGGTTCAGGAGTCTCTTTTCTGTCCCGACATGCTTTAGGCATTTCCCTACAGGGGCCCTTTGGGGAGTTCCTCCAACTTTTTTGGCTGGAGTTCATGTTTTGAGCTAGTGGCTTTTGTGTCTCACTAGGTCGTTTGTTAACCCTGCCCCTTTGAACTGTGTTCATAATTCTTTCTGTGGGGGTTGGGAAGCCACTGAGAGTTGTTTTTTAACTCAGGGGGGATGTAAACCATGGCATGAAGGTACACCGAGGTGTCTGGTGAACCGCCATGATTTAGAGGCAGAGGCAGGGGAGGGAGCCAGCCAGTCCGTGTGCTGGGTGAGTCACTGTGATAGCACAGGGCGTGTTGGAGGGGCCCAGGCTGGAGGCAGAGAGGTCCTGTAGACCCAGGCTTCGTGCCTGAGGCCGGCTGACCACTGACTAGGGCCGTGGCAGTGGATGGAGGTACGGGTTTCTGATTCAAAGATTGGACTGGTTGTGAGATGGAAGGAATAGAATGGGGCCTGGGTGCGCTGCTGACAGAGAAGCCCTCGTGATTAGGGAGGAAGGACTCGGGGCTTTACTTATGTGGCGACTCATTTCATCCCAGTAGCAGCTCTGTGGGGGAGGGACTTTGTCCCATTTTACATCTGAGGAAACTGATGCGCCGAGAATTCCAGAAACCTCCCAAGGCCAGGCAGCCAGTCCTGGACAGAGCTGGGATTCAGCCCCACGCGTTCTTGGCCTCAGAATCTGGGCTCTTCGCTATGACACTGTGCTGCTCCCGAGTCTGTTGGGTCCATGGCTGTGGCCAGTGGAGCTGTCCTGGAGGCAGGGGAGTTTGGATGGGCGGCTCAGAAGAGCCGCATGGGGTGTGTGCCTGCCCAGGAGTGTGTGAGGTTACAGAGACTGGGTGGACCACCAGGAAGAAGGAACACCTGAAGGACATGGAAGGACCAGTCAGAGATGTAGTGGAGACAAGAGAGTGGGGCCGGGAAAGACCCAGGACATGCCGTCCAGCAGGCCCACTGGAACACACTCACCTGCTCAGCCATCAGCCCTCTGCTGGGGCAGAGAGGACAGTGAGCAAAGATGTGACTAGATAGTTCGTGCCCAGTTTGGGTCTTCTGGTGGCATCACATAGCCCAGGTAATTCAGATTGTGTGTGTGTGTGTGTATGTGTGTGCACGTGTGTGTGTACATGTATTGCTGGAGAGAGATTGTGGGAGAAAGCCCAGCCTGCAGGTGCCCGGCTCCGTTCAGCTCTGCGGTCTCTGGGCCTCATACCAGCGTGGTCACCTCTACCCGCAGCTCGGCAGTGATCTGGGTGCTAAGGAGCTCTCGAGGCTGGGACCCTATCCTGGCCTGTTCTCTGTGTTCCTTGCCACCTTTGCTCTCAGAGCGATCCTGGAGGTGTTTTAACCTCCCATTTACTTGTCAGGGAGACAGGCCCTGAAGCTCAGGAATTGGGTCCTGGCGAGGAAAGAGTAGACAAGTTGGTGGCCAAACACCGCCTCCCCTGAATGTAGGGCTGTAGCTCGTCCCTGTTGCTGGGGCCGCTGTGTGGGGTGCCAGGGAACCAGGGACCCCGGGCCCACCCCAGGAAGCAGGGTCTGGAGAGAGGTCTCAGCTGGGCAGTGGTTGTGGATTTGGTCGTGGATCTGGGAGCATGCCTGCCGCACTGAGGTGAGCACCTGGACCCACGGGTTCTCAGGTAGGCTCCCAGCCACGGCCGTTCCGCGGAAGGGCTGTGTGTGCTCCTGCGCTGGAGGAGGGGCCGCCTCACCGTCCACCAGGCGCCTCGGGTGATGGCTTCACTGCCTGCAGCCTGGCCAGGGCCCCTCCTTCACGGGCATGGGGAGGAGTGGGGCCCCCAGGCCGGGCCAGGCTCCTACCCAGCAAGGGAGGAGGAGTGTCTGCATTTTACACTGCCAGGACCTGCCCAAGGCCGATCAGCCCTGGGGGAGTGGTACCAGCGTCAAAGCCAGGTTACTAAGGCCAGGGCAGGAGGAGGGTAGGCTGGCACCTGAGCCCACTAGACTAAAGGCCAGCGCTGGGCATCAGAAAGGGGGTGTTCACACGTCTGACCGGGTGTGGGACCTGCCGGGGGCTCTGGCAGACCAAGATGAGAGCAGGAAAGGCCATGCGTGTCCACACTGTTAGAGTTGTTTGGGGATGTTAGGAGTTTGGGGGGGCGGTGCATCCCTGAGCCCTTGATCTTGGGGAAGTTGTGATGGCCCCTCGTGTCCTTCCCCCCATCCTCTCCACTGGATGCCGCTTTAGTGAAGTGTTGGCTGCGGGATGACCTTCACACTTTCTCACAAGAAGGCAGACCAGCAGAGCCAAGGGCTGCTTCTCTGCAGGTGTGTAAATTGAGACTCACTGTCTGTGGCTGGAGTGAGGAGGAGCGGGTCCTTCGTTGGGAACAGCAGCAGCGCTGGGCACGCCGCCCTCTTGCAGGGCTGCTGGCGTGGCCTCCGGGATGTCTGCCCCCCGCAGGCGGAGACTAGGTCCCCCTGTGACAGGCCCTGCCCTGTGTGCGATGTCACGTCTGGCGGTGAGCACGGAGCCGAGTGGAGGCGATGAGCTGGAGGGGAACGTGGCCGTTTTAGATGGGCGGTCAGGGAGGGGCTGCCAGTCAGGGAGGGCAGACGTGAGGAGGGGTCTGGTTGATGGGCAGGGTCCGGTGGCTTCTGGGGGAATAAGTCACGGTCAGCACACACAACTCCTGGGTTCCCATCAGGAATTGTTCTCTTTGCATCTACACCCTGTGCCTGCTTGTCCTCCAGTCCACCTGATGTTTAGTTCCCAAGGGAACCCACGTTTGAGCCCAGGAGCAACCTTGGGATGCTGTGGCATTGCATTACCTGCTGAACGAGTGCCCAGTGTCCAGCCTCGGTCTTCTGATGGGCACTTTGGCGTCTCCTGTGGAGCCGCCACCATAGTGCACCCAGCACTGCCCAGGCCGCTGGCCTCTGCTGCTGTCCTGTGCTGGGCGCGGGTGCTCTGCTGAGAACCTCTGTTCTCTGGCGGAGGAGGCGGTGGGGCCTGGTGGAGCCCAGGGCCGGCTCTCCCCTGGCCGTTCTGGATTGCCTCTGGAGTGGGCAGCAGATCTGCCTGGCCTGTCCACAGTGTCCAGACCCCAGGCCAGATTCTGAATAGCTGTTAGCTCCCTAAGGGAGGTGCCAGAGGGGAAGCCCAGAGCCCCTCTCGGGGGAGGAGGTGCTTCAGGGATGGGAAAGGGTGGGTGGAGGCTCCTGTGGACCACAGGGTGGCTGAGAGCATGGCAGGAACGGTGCCTCCAGCAGGAGGCCGTGCTCAGTTCCAGGTCCTCAGGGAGCATGGGTCAGGGTCAGCTAGGGCGCGGGTGGAGCCCCAGGCTGAGGAGTGGGGCATCCGCCCTGCAGGCATCGGGGAAGGAGTGACGAGATAGGACAGTTCATTCAGGGTGGCCGCCTGCCACCCCTCCTCCCGCTGTGGGCTGCTCCTGTGCTCCCACCACGGCCAGAGGCCATGGCCTGGGGGCTTAGCTGCTCCCGAGGAGCGGTCCCGGGGGCCGTGGGGACACCTCGGTGAGGCGGCAGGCCCTGGGGCAGGTTTCCTGCCTGTTTCCCCCAGTGACGGTTCTGAAGGCACCAAGACAGGCCAGGTGGTGCATGGAGAACAGGCAGCACCCCACAGGGGGCCGGGTGACTGGGGGCCGCGGGGGCCCGGCCGAGGGGGTGCCGAGCTGTGCGCTCCGTACCGTCCGCGTTTCCATGGCTTGGCTGCGCCCTGCTGTATTGCCCTCTGCTCTCCTTCCTCGCGCTGTCATGGAGAGGCGGCCCCCTGCCCTGAACCGCTCTGGATGTGTCTTGGGGTGGCGTTCTGCCCTCTGCCCTCCTGAAGCCACGGCCTCCCCCCTTGCATGCTCCGGCACAGGCTGGTGGGGTGCTTGTTCAGATCCTCCTGCAACTTGGGGCCTGGGCTCCCACGAGCCGGCATTTCACTGATTGCTGAGCTCAGCCCTGCTGGTCTGGGTGGGCCCTGGCAGCCTCGAGCAGCTGGATCCCCTGGGGAGATGGGCGAGTCCTGACGGTTGTCGACAGCGCCACCTGGGCGCAGCCGAGGTTTGTGGCGGTCACGAGCCAGACGGCTCCTTCTAACGTTTCTCCCCTCTCTGCATGTCTGATCTCGCACCCCGTGTAGGCATGACGAGTATTCTGATGTCAGCCATTGGACTCCCTGTGTGTCTTAGCCGCGCACCCCAGCCCGCCAGCCCTCCCGCCTCCTGTCTGGCCTCTAAAAGTCACAGCTCAGTTAAGAGATTGAGGAAAATGTCCATGAAAGGTAGTTCCTGCTCACAAATACTCTCTGGCCTCTGCTCAGCCTCCTCCGAGTCTCGCTGCCTCTGACTCTCCCGCACTGGCCACTCTCCTCTGACCACCTCGGCCCTTCACCCTCCCCTCACCTGTGGGGCTGGTGATGGGCTCAGTGGCCCGCCCCGCCCTTGGCAGCAGGCCTGGCCCCCTGGGAATCCACTCCCCTCTGAGACCCAGAGTTCAGTGCTGTCTTCCCGGTGCAGTGGAAGTGTGAGGGGCCTGTGCTTGAAGACTCAGTGACTCTGTAAACACAGATTCAAGGCAAGACGTGGCTCAGGAGCGGGGGACAACTCTGTCCCTTCCACTGGGGCCACTGTGTGTCTTAGGAAGGGCCAGCCCACATGGGGCTGCTTCAGAGGGGTCCCCAACGACCATGCCATCCCCGTCACATGGCTAGGGGAGAGGAGGTCTCAGAACTGGTAGAAGGTGCTGTGTGAGGCTCAGGAAGATCTGAGAGGAGGAGCTGCTGTGCAGTGAGCTCTACGCCTGTCATTTCCAAACCTGTGGCTCTGCTGCCGTCACTGGGCAAAGACGTGGCTGCCTCGAGGACCTTCAGGATGGCGTGAGCAGGGCTTTGGCCCCGCCAGTCCGGGGTTTGCAGCGCTCGCTCACCAGCTTTGTGATCTCATGCCAGCTTCCCCATTCATGAGCAGAGGGCCTCCTAGCCGGCAGACCGGTTGTGGGAGGAATAGGAAGTAAACACAGGGGCAGTGCCTGGCACATGCTGACAGTTGCTCTGATCGAGTTCACTGCCTGTCTAACCATCAGGGGAGGAGGGAGGCCAGGGAAGGACGACCTTAAGTGCCCAGCTCCCATCAACACCCCAGCCTTGCTCCCTCTTCTTACTCTGCCTCAGGGCTGGATCTGTGGGCAGTGCCGCTTCCTGAGACACCGGGGTTTGCTCTGAAAACACACGGCGTTCAGCAGACCATCTGGCCTTCCTGGGCTCAGATGTCCTTTTGCGGGGTAGGCGGTCACCTGGCTGGCCCTCTTTTGAGAAAAGTGGTTCATGGAGAGTTACCATCAGTTCCGAAAGGCTACCTGGACACGGGAGGTGGGAGAGGAAGGGGTGCTGAGACAGGCCTTGTCGGAGGAGTTCTGGGGTTCAGCTGGAGACTGGCCTGTCACCAAAGTGGCCTTCTAGACCAGGCTTTTCTAGAAGGTCTCTCCCCTCAGAGTAGAGTCCCAGGTACTAGGCTGGCCACCTGGTGCTGCTGGGGATCGTGCTTTGGTCTGGCTTTCTCTCCAATGACCAGAGTCAGGGTCCTCAAGGTCTGTGTCTGGGGATGTGTGTGCATGTGGATGGGAGCACCTGTACATGTGTGGTTGGGGGTGCATGATCTCCCTTGGCTTCGAGCTGCCTTTCAGGTCATAGCGGCTAATGCCTTTCCAGTGTTCACCCCTTGGGTTGGTGTCAGGTCCACTTTTTAGATGAGTGACCTGAGACTCAGAGGTGACCCGATTCTGTCCCAGCCCAAGAGCCAGACTCCATCCTGACTTCACCCAGCCCCGACCCCTCTGCTCCCTCCAGCCTGTCACTGGGCCATCTCTGGTCTAGAGGGGTCTCCCGCTGTTGATCCCTTAGTCTTCTAAGTCTCTGCAGCCACACGCTGATGGCTGGGAGCTTGGGCTTATGCCAGAGCCCCTCTGGTCTCAGAGGCTGGGACCAGGAGCTCCCCTGGACTTGAGGAAGGCAGGCCTCCTGGCGTCACGCTCCCAAACTGGGCTGGTCTCCCAGTCCCTCCCTCTCCTCCTGCTTTGCCAGCACTCTGACTCTGCTGATTGACTCTAGCTGCAGGGGGGAGGGGGGAGGGGGGAGGGGGTGCTTGTCCTTGCGGTGGGGCCTGTTCGGTGCAGGGCCTCCCCTTCCCAGTTTCATGTCCAGGCGCACACCTTCCAGGGGTAGGAGGTTTTGAGAGGAGGAGGCGGGGGGATAGAGCTGTGGGCAGCTGAGAAATCGAGGAGGCAGGTCACGGACACCCTGGAGTCCAGGGACAAGCCCAAGAACCCCGTGGTTGGCTGGGGCCGTGTGGCCGTTCTCTGCGGTCAGTGTGCACGCAGCTGTCCCCACAGGGTAGGCATGCACCATACACGTGACTCAGGACACTTACTTCTCTTACCCAGACTTTCTTCTGAGAATAACGAAAGTTGAGTAAAATAACCTGGCCAGAACACACTCCAGAGCATTTGTGTAGAAGCTACTCTTTTATCCTCCTGCATGTCCTCTGAAGCCTGGGTCTGGGTTCCTGAGTGAAGGTGCGCGGGGCTGTGGCTGAGGCCCTGCCTGTGGCTCCTGAAGGCCATGGCCAGCTGCTGTCTCTGCTTCTCTCCCTCCAGGGCTCCCGGGGCTGCCCCCCACCCGCCCCGCCCCCGGTGGAGCTCTGGACTGTTATGCGCCTGGCCTGTTCTCTCCTCTCCTGCACACTAACCTTCCCATCTGAGCCATCCTAACCTCCCTCCCAGCAGCTTGGACTGCTCCCTGTCCTCCTCTCTCATCCCAGCATCTCCAGTTTGTTCTCCTCAGGACACCATTTATGTTCTTCTCTCTCCTAGGAGGGTCCCCAAAGCCAGAGCCAGAGCAGGTGATCAGAAACTACACCGAAGAGCTAAAGACGGCCCCAGAAGAGGTGCGTGTCACGGGGCCCGTGCTGCTTTTGCTTTTGTTTGGTAATGGGGTGGCTCAGACGAGGCCTCCAGCCTGTCCTCTGCCAGAAGGTGCCTCATCCATAGACCAGTTCTGCCCCCCTGGCTGTGGGGAGGGCCGGCTGGGGTTCCTGCTTTTAACCCCATCGCGGCTTCACCTGACCCGGCTCTGCTGAGTCTCATTTCGGGGCTGTGATGCCACTGTTCTCCAGTTTGAATGAAGAGCCCTGGAGGGTCCTGAGGGGTGGGTTCAGAGCTGAGGACTCTCTGGCCACCTTCTGCAAGTTGAGAACACAGGAAGCATCTGGTTGGTAAAGGTTTAGACAGAGACTTGCAAGTCCTCCTCACCTTGGGCCTCCCCTTCAGCCCGCCCCCTTCACAGGAGTCTGTCTGTCCATCTCTCTGCCCTTGTGCTCACCCGACACAGCTGGGCTGTTTGGCCCCTGGCTGCCTCCCCGCCAGCTGCTGATCACACAGCCAACATGTGGCCATGATGGTTTAGTACCCGCTGCTCATACCACCTGGCTGTTGAGATGGCCCCAGCCTTTTCTTGAACCAGGGAAGGCTTCCTGGAGGTGGAGGCATCTTTTACTGGGCAGAAAGCCCACAGGAGTCTAAGCAGGAGGATCACTTCTGCTTACCATGATGTGTAAGACAAAGCCCAACCCCCGATGATGGCCTTCAGGGCCTCCCAGGACCTGGTCTCCTCCCCTTCGGTCTCCTGCCCCCAGGTCACCCCTGTCCTGCAGGTGCACCACCCCCCAGCAGAAGCGCTGGCTCCTGCTTCAGAAGGCTCTCCTCTCTCCTGCCTGCCTGTTGCCTTGCATGTGCTTCTGACAGGTTCCCTTTCCCCTGGAAAGTCCAGCGCTGCGGGCCCCTCCTGTCCTTTCCTTTCTGCCGCCCTCTCGGCCTGGGCTTCAGGCATCACAGCAGCCCCCAGACTTGGTGCCGCCTGCCATCCCCTCCTCTGAGGGTGCAGACACCAGTGACCCCTCGGTGCTCCCAGCCTCCAGCACGGAGAGCTGTGGGGCTGACTTAGGTTGGGGTCCACCTTTTCCGTAGACGACGGCCGGTCCTCAGGACTCGCTCCTGTGGCGCAGGGGCCGTGGGTGAGCCTCCCCATGTGGGGTCTCCCTCCAGGACTGCATCATCTGTATGGAGAAGCTGTCCGTGGTGTCTGGGTACAGCGATGTGACTGACAGCAAGACCATCGGGCCCATGGCTGTGGGCCGCTTGGCCAAGTGCAGCCACACCTTCCACCTGCTCTGCCTGCTGGCCATGTACTGCAATGGGAACAAGGTACCCATGGCCCCCAGGCCGGGAGGGCGTCGGGGTCACCTGCCGGCAGCCCGTCCCAGTTGCACTGCACCTGAGCAGGTGACGGGCTGCCCTGTGAGGGGCCCAGGGCCCGCTCAGAGACCGCCTTGAGATGTCCACAGTCCTGGCCCTGCAGCGGGAGGGGACTGGGGGTGGCAGGTGATGCTGGCTGCCCTGCCTTTGGTGTAATTTAGCTAAAGTGGACAGAGGTCGGGGAGCAGAGAGAGCCAAGGCCAGTGGGGGGCCTTTGTGCCTGGGCTGTCTTCGCTGTGCCGTGTCCCTCAGCCACACGTACTGGCCAGGGCGCCAGCGTCAGCAGTCCTTCCGTCACAGGGTTTTCTGTTCCATTTTAAATATGACTCAACTGTGTAGACTTTGGTTCATAAACCTAATTTTTCTACCTGATGCCAGTCTCTTGGTACTTTGTCCCTTTAATGAAAATGGCTTAATGAGTTTCTGGGGTAAAACTTATCTTTCCAAGGAAGTTGCCAAAATTGAGTTTCTTTGCAAGGAGTCTGCCTGGGAGCTGGGCGACGTGCCCGGGACCCACTGGTGACCAAGGAACCAAACCTGTGTCCCTGCAGGTCTCTTTCCCATCTAGTCAGCAGGGTGGCTGGCCTGGGTGCCCTCTTGGGGCCACCGGCTCAGTCCACGACCTTCTGCCCTGTCTCAGGATGGAAGCTTGCAGTGTCCCTCCTGCAAAACGATCTACGGGGAGAAGACTGGGACCCAGCCCCGGGGGAAGATGGAGGTGTTCACGTTTCAGATGTCCCTCCCCGGCCACGAGGACTGCGGGACGATCCTCATAGTCTACAACATTCCCCACGGCATTCAGGTGAGGGGCACGGCACAAGAGGAGCCTCCTTGGATCTTTCTGGAATCGGCCTCTGAGGTTCTTCCTGTCCCACTCTGTCCTCCGGGGTCACTGAAGGTGCCCGCCTGCCCAGTCAGGCTCCCAGCAATCAGGACGCACTCGTGCTGGGGGCTCCAGCCAGCCCTTAGAGTTGTGGAAGCAAAGAGATGGCCCCTGCCTTTTCTTGAACCAGAGAGGGCTTCCTGGAGGTGGAGGCATCTTAGCTGGACTTTTACTAGGCAGAAGGCTCACAGGAGTCTAAGCAGGAGGAACAAGCACTTCTGTTCGGCTAGCTGGCTGGCTGAGGAGCCCGCAAGCAAGAACCCTCCCAAGGAGCAGAGCACAGGGCAGAGAGCTGCCTGCAGTGAGGCTTGACCACTCTTGAGGGACCAGCTCAGTGGGCTGATCCAGACCTGTGTGGGGTGTGTAGGAGCAGGAACCTCAGCTGCAGGTCCCAGTGGAGACCCAGATGAGAGTCAGGGCTCCTTAGGTTTCTGCCTTGGACTGGGGGCTCTCAGCGTGCCCCCAGAGCCTTGCTGGCTTGGGAAGATACAGGGTGATGGAGACCAGGAGGACAGGATGTCCCTTGGTTTTGTCCAATTACGTGCTTTCCCCTGGTTGTCCTCCAAAGTGACATTGCACTCAAAGTGAAACTGGGAAAATTAGAAACATCTAGACAGCAGTAGAGCCACAGAGCAGGCGGGGAATTTGGAGTTGTACGTGGTGTCACCATGGGCTGAGGGCAGAGCAGGGGCCGTGCCTGCTCCAGCCCGCGCCCTCTGTCTAGCCTGCTGCCATGGTCTCAGGGGCCCTGCTCTGGAGGGAGCCGTGGAGGCGCTGTGCGCCCCAGTGATGGTAAAGCAGGCCCTGCCGTCCAGTCCAGAGAGCCCTGTGCCCAGAGGGTTGCCAGCGAAGTAGGAGCTTCCGGCCTGACCTCTGACAGGTCCGGCTTCCTCAGGGACGTGGAGGCTGTTAGGGTGTGTGGCCCCTCAGAGCAGCGTGGGTTCGGGGAGAGCAGGCATGGGCAGGCCGTGTGCATGGTGGGTCTTTCGAGAGAGAGATGAGACAGCAGTTGATCTGGTCACTTCGTGCAGGAAGAGCCCCGCCTGGAAGGTGACGGGGTGAGGCTGAGACAGGGGCCCTGTCCCAGCAGCTCTGCAACACGCGAGCCCCTTGGCTCCCGCTCTCACCGCCTGTGTTCCTCCTGCAGGGCCCTGAGCACCCCAACCCTGGAAAGCCCTTCACTGCCAGAGGGTTTCCCCGCCAGTGCTACCTTCCCGACAACGCCCAGGGCCGCAAGGTAAAGGCCCGGCTGCCACCCGAGAAGCAGCCTCTATCCTCCTCCCCACAGCTGGCCAGTCCCTGAGCGGCGGGTGGCTGTCGGGCTGGGAGGGCCGGCTCGGTGCCGTCCCGGCCCTGCCTCTGCCCACCTTACTGCGACAGGAGGGGGGATGAAGCCTGTGAGCTGGTAGGGTGTGGGCTGCCCCTTCCTGGGGACCTGCCACAGGTTAGGCGTCCGGGTATGGGGCATCCAGGCAGAGACGACCTGACCTCAGATGCTCTTCAGGGAGGACAGGGGTCTTCCTGCGGTCTAGTGTGATGGGATGGGGCGGAACCGGGTCGCTTCACCCTGGGTGATGGGGGTGGCCTGTGGAGCCGCCTCTGCACTGAGCCCTAACTTGGGCCTTCCCAGCTCAGAGAAGGGGCTTCCCAGGTGCCTCAGCGGCAGAGAATCTGCCTGCTAATACAGGAGACACGGGTTCGATCCCTGGGTCAGGAAAATCTCCTAGAGAAGGAAGTGGCTCCCCTTTCCAATATTCTTGCTTGGAAATCTCATGGACAGAGGAGCCTGGGGGGCTACTGTCTGTGGGTTCACAAAGAGTCGGACACGACCAAACAGCTGTGAGAAGGCTGGGGAAGAGCATTACAGGCAGACAGAACAGCCAGGGTGGTGACTTTGGGGTGGGGATAGCCCCAAGGGCGCGAAGAGGCTGAGGGAGGTGAGGGGGGTGTCAGGAGTATCTGCCTTCCAGGCCAGCCCCTGCAGCCAGGGTTTGTTCTGAGCACTCCTTCACTGCCTTCTCCTTGCCCCCTTCCCCGCCGCTCCTCCCCCTCATCATACCCTTCCCTCCCCCCTCCTCATCCCCTCTCCCCACCATGCCCTCCCCTCCCCCCTCCTCATCCCCTCCCCCCACCATGCCCTCCCCTCCCCGTCTATACCCTCTCCTGGGGCAGGTCCTGGAGCTGCTGAAGGTGGCCTGGAAGAGGCGCCTTATCTTCACAGTAGGGACGTCCAACACCACCGGGGAGACGGACACGGTGGTGTGGAACGAGATCCACCACAAGACCGAGATGGACCGCAATGTGACAGGCCACGGCTACCCCGACCCCAACTACCTGCAGAATGTGCTGGCCGAGCTGGCCGCCCAGGGGGTGACCGAGGACTGCCTGGAGCAGCAGTGACCCGCGGCCTGGCCGCCCCAGCTTCGCCCACCACGACGGCAGGCGGGAAGGTGCCTTTCCTCAGAGGCTGGGACATTTGTCGGGGACGCCAGCGGGCTCCCCATACCCGCCTGTCCCCTTCTCTGTGCCCGCCGGGCCTGGGTCTCCGTGGGAACCGGGCGAGCCTGGGAGTCGTGTGTGGGGGCTTCGGATGCCGCTACCTCAGTGTGTGGGCCCCTCCGTCCTCGGCGGGCTGCATGGGGCCCTCAGTGTCCGGGGTGACGAGAGGCTGCCTGCTGTGTGTGCCACCGGGGCAGGCCTGGGTCTGGTCAGCTTCTCATACCTCAGATGTTCTGTTTGCAATAAACGCCCTAAAGCCAAAGCCTGTGGGCCCCATGGGTTTGCCATTGGAGAGGCTGCGTGTGTGCGTGTGCGTGTGCGTGTGCGTGTGTGTGTGTGTGTGTGTGAAGGTCGGCTGTATGAAGGCCAGCCCACACATGTCTTGCTGCATCAGAGAAGGAATGGACCTGACAGGCTTCCTGTCCAACCCTCTGTTTCTCCCTAAATGAGACTCAGGCTGCGGGGAGACCAGGAGCTGGACGCTGACCCGAGCGGCTCCCCTGGCCCCACCCCAGTTCGTGCAGTCGACCTTCAGCAGCTCTGCCAGGTGCCCCCCCCACCCCGACCAGCTCCTCCCATTTACTCTCCTGGGGGTTCTGACTTTCTAAGTGCTGCTCCTATGGGGGTATGTACCGCTGTGTCCACTTTACAGATGAGGAAACGGAGGCTCGAGGGTACAATAGTGCAGCTGGGACTGAATCCCAGCCAGGTCTGGTCTGACCCCACCCTGAAGGTTTCCATTCTTCCCAGTCTTCTTAGAAATAGGATCCAATATTCCTAGGCTTCCTGATGGCAAGGGGGTGTGGGGGTGGGGATGTGTGCTTGTGGCCTTCACAAGCCCTTTTCTCTCTAAGAAAGAAACTTAAATTCTGTTTTATGATTTGTTGTTACAAAGATCAGTGTATGTTAGAGCATTTACTTTCACTCAGAAGTTCCTTTTTTCCCCTTCTGATTGTGAAAAGAAACTAAGGCAGCTTTGTGAGCCCCTGGCATCGTGCCCCCTGCCCTGTGGAGAAGTTGGTCTGGGGAGGGCCAGGAGGCCCCCATGGAGAAGCTGGACCCCAACTGTGTTAGGTTCCACAGTGAGACTCGCCCTAGTGCTCCCAGGGCAGAGGAGTTGTGTGGGTACCTGAGTGTCACCCCCTCACCCTCGGCTCACCCTGAGTGTCACCACCCTCACTGTGCAGTGAGAGAACAGAACAAAATGTTTGCATATCTTATGCCTGATCAGAGTCTTGTATCCACAGTATATCAAGAACTGTCACAACTCAACAATAAAAAAAATCTTCAATTTAAAAAAAATGGGCAAAGGACATGAACACACATTTCTCTGAAAAAGCTATACAGATGGCTGACAAGCAATGTCATTAGGGAAATGCAAATCAAAACCACAAAGTGATACTGCTTCATACCCATTAGGGTGGTTATTATAAAAAAATATATAGGAAATAAATATTGGTGAGGATGTAGAGAGATTGGAACTCTTGTCCACTGCTTGTGGGAATGTAAAAATGCAGCTGCTTTGGAAAGCTGGTGACCAGTGCCACAAAAAGCAGTTACCATATGACTCAGCAGTTAAATTGCTAGATAAATATCCGAGAACTGGAAACACGGCCACGGTAGCGTTCATCATAGCCAAGAAGTGGGGACGACCCAAATAGCCAAAAGCCGATGAATGGATGAACAGAATACGATCTGCTCATGCAATGGGATGCTATCCAGTTAGAAAAAAGAATGAAACAGTAACACAGCATGGATGAGCCTTAACATTATATCAAGTGAGAGAAGTCAGGCAAAAAATGACACATTGTGTGATTCCGTTTATATGAAATATCCAAAAAAGGCAAATCCACTGAGACAAAAAGTACATCTGGTTGTCAGGGGGGAAGGGGAATGGGAAGTGACTCTATTAATGGGTACAGTTTCTTTTTGAGGTGATAAAGTTCTAGAATCTGGAGATTTATGGCAATGAAGTTTAAAGGGAAGTCTACAGGGCTTATGTTATATGGAAAGCATAAGCTTTTCTGATAAAAGAGATTGAGCAACGCCTGCCTGCCCCTCCCTTCTTCCTAGCTTGAGTGAGAACATGATGCCTGGGGCCACAGCAGTCATCTTGCGGCAACGAGGAAAACGACGAGAGGGCGTTCCCTGGTTGCCTGATGGTTAGGGCTCTGTGCTTTTACTGCCCTGGCCGGGGGTCAGTCCCTGGTCGGAGCGGGAATCCTGCAAGCTGTAAGGTATGGCAAAAAAAAAAGGTCAAGAGAATCTGAGAGACATGGACCCTAATGTCATTTCACGAAACCCATACCAGCAGCCATCCTTCTCCAGAATTACCGTACATAAAAAACCCTTCTTGTTTAAAACAAAAACAACCTCCCCAAAAAACAACCCCACCAAAACAAAACTCCCTAAACTGTACATTTTAAAGGGACATCTTAGGTTATGTGAATTATATCTTAATTTAAAAAATACATATAGGGAATTATCTGGAGAAGGAAATGGCAACCCACTCCAGTGTTCTTGCCCGTGGACGGAGGAGCCTGGTGGGCTGTGGTCCATGGGGTCGCAAAGAGTTGGACACGACTGAGCGACTAACCCACTGTAGGGAATTCCCTGGTGGTCCAGTGGTTAGGACTTAGCACTTCCACTGCCTGCGTTCAATCCCTAGTCAGGGAACTAAAATTCCTCAAGCTGAGTAGTGTGGCCAAAAAAATTAATGAAAAATTTTAAAAGAATTTAAAAAAGAAAAAAAAAAAAACGTATTAGTGAGAACCCAAAGGAGTGATGTAAGCAGGCCCTCGCCAGCTCTAGGATCAAAGGAACTAAGGGAGGATGTGGCCTTGTGAAGGGAGGGCAGGACCACTGGGCCCTGAGGAGCTAGAGCTGCCCCCTTCCTTCCCGGGGTGGGGATGGAAGGCCAGAGGGAGGCTCCTGGTACGAGGGGTGCAGGAATCTCTGGCATGTGGCCCTCCTCCCCACTCCTCCCCAAGGCTGGGGGTCTGGGTGGGACCCAAACTCTGACACGGGCCTCTGGGGTGACCTGGCCGGCATCCCGGGGGTCCAGGGGCCTCTCTCAGCCCTGGCCTCCCCCTGCCCAGAGCCCTGCCCAGCCCCCTCCCCGGGGTGGGCTGGGAGGCGGAGTGGGGGTGCTTCTACATTTTCAGGTCTTTCCAGCCCTTGGCCAGTGGGGCAGCCTGACTAACCAGCTCCTCCAGGCCCACACTGTGTGGGGAGGGGCACGGCCCGAGGCGGCCAGACCGGCTCCAGGCTGTGGGTGTGGAAGCAGGCATGCTGCAGGCTGTCATGGGGCTCCCCGCCAGGCAGCCTCGCCCCTGGCTGCTGCTCTTGGTGGTGCTGGGCTGGCCCCAGCCCTGCCTCAGCCTGGGTAAGTGGGGGTCCCAGGAGGGGTGCACCCCGCCAGACCCTAGGGGCTGGGGCACCTGCTGGAGTGATTAGACCTGGGAGCACCCCCCACCCCCCAGCAACTGGGAGAGGCAGCCCCAGGGGCAGTGGGCCCTGGACCCTCACGCCTGTCTCCACGGCCCCAGAGCTCATCCCCTACACGCCGCGGATAACCGCCTGGGACCTGGAAGGGAAGGTCACGGCCACCACGTTCTCCCTGGAGCAGCCGCGCTGTGTGCTGGACGGGCACTCTGGTGCCGCCGACACCGTCTGGCTGGTGGTGGCCTTCAGCAACAGTAGGTCCCGGTGCAGGTCTGGGGCCTGGGGTGATGGGTGGGTCTGAGGACAGCTCCAGGGCCCTGGGAGCCCCTCTCAACTGGGTGTGAATGGGGAGTTCGGGCTTTATCCTGCGGGGGATCTGAGAGGTGACACCTGATTTGTGTCTGGAGGGGCCCTCTGAGCTTTGAGGCGTGGAGGGCGCGGGGCTATGGAGTGGACGACCTGTCTCCTCCTGCGCTCCGGCCCCAGCTGTCTGTGCCTCCCTCCTGCAGCCTCCAGTGTCTTCCAGAACCCCCAGACACTGGCTGAGATCCCAGCCTCCCCACGGCTGCTGACCGACGGCCACTACATGACGCTGCCCCTGACCATGGACCAGCTGCCCTGTGAGGACCCTGCGGGCGGCAGCGGGCGCGCCCCCGTGCTTAGGGTGGGCAATGACGCCGGCTGCCTTGCTGACCTCCATCAGCCTCGCTACTGCAACGCCCCGCTCCCGGGCCCCGGACCTTACAGGTGAGTCGCCTGACCTGAAACCTGGAAGGGAGCTGTACTGGGCGAGGGCGGGTGGGGGTGGGGTTCTGGGACCAGGGCTGCCCCCCAGCCCCCAACCCCCAACCCCCGCCCCCGCCCCAGTCTCCGCCCAAGCCTCTGTCCTGGCCCCGCCCCTTCCTGGCTGCAGGCCGAGCAAGCCCCTCCCCTTCTCCAGCCTTGGTTTCTTCCTGTGTGGGCTCCGACCTCCTGGAGGGGCAGGTGGCCTCCACGAGGAGGTGGGCATCACAGAGCCGGTGGGGGATGTGAAGGGATCTGCAGGCCCCAGCTTGGGGTGGGAGGGGAATGCTGCAGACCGCCCCTCCCACAGGTGGGTCGGGCAGGAAAGTCAGCCTGGGGCTGAGGATGGAACCGGGGTGGGAGAGCAGGGGTCCAGGGAGCGAGGGGACAAGGCCAGACATCCTCAGGGTGACCGAGTGCAGCTGGAGGAACCGCCAGGGGCCACAGGGACGGCGGGGCAGGGTGTAGCCGCCTTCCACGCCCGCACCCCTCACCATCTCACCCACTGGCCACTCCCTCACGTCCTAGCGGCCGCCAGAGCCGGCTCCCGTCAATCCAGGTGCCGGCCTGCCTGGATCCCAGAGCTCCCCACCCCGAACAAAGATACAACTCGAGTTCTGTGCGGTGCCCTCGGAACTCAGCCTGCCCGCTCCCCTGATCCTGGTCTCTGAGCACGCCCTGAGCACACCTCTCCCTCCTGGCCTTTGCCTGGGGTGCCTGCCCCTATCGGGGGGCCTTCCAAGACCTCACAGACTCCACACAGCCAGCAGTTCTCCTCTGGAGAACAGGGGCTGAGGCCTCATGCACCCTTGTGAGCCACCCTGAGGCCCCCTGTATGTGGCATTTAGTCACAGGGACCCCTGAACCAGAGTGTCTGAAGAGCGGCTGTTCAGACGGTTAAGGGCTGGTGGCAGAGATTGCTGTGGCCAGAGAGGTCTCGGGGTACTTAGCACAGGGTCTCCCCTCCCCTGAACATGAAAGACCCACAGCCTGGCCATCAAGTGCTGCCTGGGGCCTGGCCGAGGCAGGGGCCTTGCCCAGAGCAGTCGAGGTGCGGAGCCTCACCCATGGTCCTCTTCCCCAGGGTGAAGTTCCTGCTGATGAACTCCAGCGGCTCACCCCAGGCCGAGACGAGGTGGTCTGACCCCATCACTCTCCACCAAGGTAGCGCGGAGGGCCGGGCACTCCAGTTGCAGTGTGCCCTGTGGACCGGCCAACATCGGCACCCTGGTCGTGCTCATCCGGCCCCTTCCCCGGCTGCCATCGGACAGGGGCCCCTGAGTCAGAATCCAAGTCCAGGCCAGCCCCTAAATAGAACCTCCCATTAGAGGGTGGGGTACTGGGTCAGCCCCATGGGCAGAGACACTGGCTCTGTCCACCCCAAAATATTTGCCAACCCTCGGGTGCCCTAGGCTGTAGCCCCACCATGGACAGAAATAGTCTGCCCCTCTTTCAGGGAGCCAACCCCGTGCCGGGTGGAGGAGAGGGGCCAGGGCAAGAAGGAGGCTGGGCCATGGTCCTGGGAAGCCTGCTCTCAGCAGAGCACCAAGGATCAGCGGTTCAGCAGACCAAGAAAACTGCATGTCAAAGGCTGAGTGTCCCATGAGGGGCTGCCTGGGAGACAGGCTGAAGAGGCTGGGGTGGGGGTGGGGGGACCCTGTCACGTGAAGGCCTTGGATGCCAGGCTCCAGGGGGCAGGGCAGCACCCAGTCAGTCCTGAACTCTGCTGCTGCCCTGCCTGCCGCAGGTGGTGGGAACAGTCGGTAGGTGAGACCAAGGCAGAGGCTGGCGTGACGGGTGGTCCGGGCTGGCAGAGCACAAGTTCCCCAGTGGTGAGGGACGGATGAGCGAGCTCAGGAGGCCGGCTGGGGACGTGAGGCAGTCAGCATGGTGGGGAGGTGACCGCCCTGGGGTCCGAGGGCAGCCTCTGAAAGCCGCTGTGTGTGCAGGGAAGTCCCCGGGCTCCATCGACACATGGCCAGGGCGGCGGAGTGGAGACATGATCGTTATCACCTCCATCCTGTCTTCTCTGGCTGGCCTCCTGCTCCTGGCCTTCCTGGCAGCCTCCAGCGTGCGCTTGTGAGTGGCGACCCCCAGACGGCCCCTCGCCCACCCGGAGCCCCCGCTCTCTCTCTGGCCCAGCACCTTCTGGAAGCCCTTCGGGAGCCCTGTGGTTTTGAGTTGGGTGGTGCCCCTTCCAGCGATGTGCAGGGGATTTCCGCCCTGAGTGTCTCTCGTCTAGGAGCTCAGGGAGGTGGTCCAGCAGGTCCTCTGATGACAGGTTCATAGACGGGGCCACCTCGCTCTGCCTGCGTCCTTCTCCCTGACCGGCTTTCTCTCCAGTGAGCCCTTGGTTGTTTCAATGAACTGATATCCAGGGAGCCAGGGTGGCCACCTGGAGGAGGCAGGCCTCCAGCTGGCCCTCCCAGGGAGGAAAGGGACATCAGAGACTGCAGGAGGAGGGCTGTGGGAGCTCGGCAGCCCGCACCACCCAGCAGGGACACAGCCTGTCTCCCTATCCCTGTCCAGCTCCAGCCTGTGGTGGCCGGAGGAGGCCCCGGAGCAGCTGCGGATCGGCTCCTTCATGGGGAAGTGCTACATGACCCACCACATCCCGCCCAGCGAGGCGGCCACCCTGCCGGTGGGCTGCGAGCCCGGCCTGGAACGCTTCCCCAGCCTTAGCCCCTAGCTCAGCCCACCTGGCTGGGGCTGGGGCAGTGGGGGCCTGGGGGGTGAGTGCACATGTATGTGCATGTGTGTGTGTGTGTGTGTGTGTGTGTGTGTGTCCCGCATTGCACCTCCGGCCCTGCCTGAAATCCCACCGCTAGCAGCCCTGCCTTGGGCTTTCTCATTTCCCCCGCCTCCAGGCTGTTGGGGGAGGGTTGTGGTCAGGCCGGGCATCCAGCCCCCAATGCCATCTTCCTCGAGCGAGGCTGGAGGTCATGTGGACACACTGCCTGAAAGGAGGCTTCCAGACCCCAGGAGGAGGACTTCAGTGGGCCTGGGCTGGGCTGAGCCCATCATGGGGTACGTGAGGCCTCCGTCTATCCCTCTGTCCTATCCACCGGCGGCCGGGGCTGCAGTGAGGCCTTCGGAGGTGCCTCCATCATCCCTGGACGTGGGCCACCTCTCTGAGGGTGGCCCTCACTGGCTGAAAGGTCAGACAGTATAGATCGCTGTGACAATCCGGCTACCACTTATAACCTCCTTGCACATGCAGATAGCACACACACTCATGCACTCACTCCCATTCCACAAGCATTTATTGAGCTCCTGCTGCATGCCACACACAGTGTTAGACATGGGCCCCCACGCAGGGCCCGCCGCTGTTCTTGGGGCACTCACTCACTGCTCTGAGCCTCAGATGACCACGTGTCCTGATGCGACCTGTTACTCTTGGGGGGGCTATCACCCCCTCGGACTGTCACGCACCCTCGGGCTCACACTCCTGAGACGATCTTCCCCCGATGGACTCTCCGGTCCAGTAGCCAGCCAGCCCTTCATCACCCAGGAGGAGCTACTTTATCCAGCGTCCATCCGCCAGCAAGGCCGGTGATTCCCACCGTGGACACAAGGGGGCGCCGTGGCGCCGCGGCTGCCGAGTCCCGCGCGTGCGCACGTCTGTGCACAGCTGAGCGTCCCGCCGCTGGACCCGACGTCTCACAGCGGCCGCCACGCAGCTGGGTCTCTGGAGGTCACGGCTCCAGTTTCCACCTCAGCCAAGCCAGAGGATGAGCAGTCACACTGTCGTTTGAGGATCAACGGTGTGTCGTCCAACTGCACAGCTGTCATCGTTTTCTGGATGGAAAAACAGGCTCAGTGGTTTGCGCACGATCCACTGTCCCCGCATCCCGTGTCCCCCGGCCGCTCCCAGGCCCTTCTAAGCCTGACCGCGGCTCCCAGCATACAGGCCGCCCTGAGGAGGGCGCCAAGCGGGGAACTCTACCCCCGCTCCCCTGACTTTGAAGATGAATAAATGCAGTCTGGCTCCTCCATCCCAGTGGTGCCCGCGCTGGATCTGGAAGAGGAGCGGTTATACGCGTTGCCCAGCCTGGCTCCGCCCTGTGCAGCCTGCCCCCCGTACCAGCTCGGGCGCTGCCCCGAGCCTGCTAACCCTAACTATGCATCAGGATGCCCCCATCTCCTGATGGCCCCAGGGAAATCTACCCCCAATGGGGCCAGGAAACCCACCACTAACGCAGGTGGATTTAGCAGTACTCCTTCCCAGGTAAACGCTTCATGGGAGTTTGTTTTCAAAACCCATGCACCCCTGGTCCCCGTGGTCTGTCTCCCACCCTGCCTGCATCCTCATCAGCCACAAGACCTGCTCTCAGTGCAGTTGGGAGCTCAGGCCCTGGTGTCCTGGGTGACACCTGGCCATGAGAACCAGCCCCATCAGACTGCTACTTTTGGAATTCTGCTGCCGTAGAGCCCAGGATCCTCTTGGATTCTTGGAATTGTTGTTTAGTCGTTCAGTTGTGTCTGACTCTTTGCAACTCCATGGACTATAGCCCGCTAGGCTCCTCCGTCCATGGGATTCTCCAGGCAAGAATACTAGAGTGGGTTGCCGTTTCCCTCTCTAGGGGATCTTCCCGACCCGGGGATTGAATCCGTGTCTCCTGCTTTGGCAGCCGATTCTTCGCTTCCAAGCCATCTGAGGCTCATTCTTAGAATTGGAAAAGGGTTAAAAGTTGGGCCTGCGCCATGCCAGCTATCGCCAGTGGAGCCCAACTCCCATGGTCCCTCCCAGTCCTGGCCCCAATATCAGACAACAAGGCCCTTAAGACCCAGGATGCCTGGCTTGGGGCCTGCCCAGGAAGGAAGTGATAGTGAGAAAGAGGGATCCACTGGTGTTTGCTGAGTGAAAAGATGAACAAACCTGCCCAAAGATGGATGATCAGCCAGGAGCAGGAATTGCCTCTGGCTCTTGCATGTCCCGGGGTCCTTTGGTGGCTGGTTAGTGCCAGAATCTTGGCGGATTCAGAGTCCTGTGATGTCCCGTGCATCCCTGGGGCCGCCATTCACTTCCAAACAGCGTCTCCGAGCCCCTCTGAGGAGCTGCTCTCATCGAGGCCACTTGGGGCTTGACTGTGGAGACGACCTCTAAACAGACGTTGCAACGTGGTGAGTGAAGACTGGGCAGGGGAGGCAACTGACCCCGCCTGATGGTCAAGCGGGCTAACGAGGGTGAGACGCTTCCCTGGGGGCAAGTGGAAGCCAAGACAGAGGAAAGGAGGAGGGAAGGAGAAAGAGTGGGACAAGGGGAGACCAGGTGTAAATAGTCGTGCCTTGTGGTGGCACAGGTGGTTCCTGGGGCCACGGCAGCAGGGCCGGGGGGCCGGGAGCCCGGTAAGAGGGAGGGTGACCTGGTCTTCCAGGCATATGGAATCAGCCCTGAGCCAGGGCAGACGAAGCAGGTTGGAGAGGAAGAGGTGGATTCTAGAAATATCTGGGAGGTGATTAGAGGAATCTGGCACTTCTTAGACATGGGAGACAAGCCATAAGGGAGAGATGTGCTTGGGTATCTTTCCTTCATTAAAAAAAAAAAATTATTTATCTGGCTGTGTCAGGTCTTAGTTGTGGCTTAGTTGCCCCACGGCATGTGGAATCTTACTTAGTTCCTCAACCAGGGTTCAAACCCATGTCCCCTGCATTAGAAGGAAGATTCTTTTTTTTTTTAATTTCTTTTTTAATTTTTAAATTATGAAAATATAGTAACACATTTACAGGAGGCATGGAAAATACAGAACAAAGTTACTTATAGTTCCACTTAATTACAGTTGTTTTAGGTAGATAAATTAAGATATTTAGTTGGAATGTCAATATCAAACTCTCAGAAATTAGTAGAATGAAAGTACAAAGAAGCAGAAGCATATAGCAGAACTGAAAAGCACTGTGAACCAATTCGACATAATTAAAGTTTATACAAGAAGGCAGATTCTTAACCACTGGACCACCAGGGAAGTCCCTCCTGTGCCCAGGTTTCTGATCTGGGGATGGGTATGAATGCAGAATGGGGCCCCTTATGTTCTGAAAATGGACCTGTCACCCCAGCCTTAGAGCCGATCCCCAGAAAAAGGGGGTTCTGGGAACGTCATTGTAGGTGAGTGAATCCACAAGAACACTAACAAATTGTTAGTATTTTACAAAGATGGAAGCCAGGCCTGGTCAGCAGAAGGCCACCCAGTGAGCCTACTGGGCTGTGGGCGTGCTGCCCTAGAGCAGGCGTGCCCGGGCATCACGGAGTCCACACGGAATTGGGGCCGCGGGCCCGGTCATCACCAGCCCAGGCACCGTCACGCTAGGCCCTGGGGAACTGTGCTGGGGCCTTCTGCCTCAGAGTCACGCTCGAGAGGGTCACCAGCTAGACCGCGAGGGCCAGCTCGTGACAGCCTGGAGCAGGGCGCCTGGTGAGAACTGCATTGTGGAGAATCTCTTTATCAAATGATGTTTTCCATTTTCTCCAGGGCTGTACTTGGGGAAGTACCTCCAAATCCATTGGCCCATCACATAATGGCTCAGTGGTTAAAAACAAGTTCATTGTGAAGAAGGAAAAAACAGCAGTGATTGTGGGGGCGATGACTCACAGATGACTCATTGGGCCAAAAATCAAAGGCAGCAGAATGATAGCAGGTAGAAACCGGCCAGCACCCCTCCCTCCCTCTCACCCTTGGGGTTCACTTTATTCCTCTCACCTCTGAAGCATCCGTTTCTCTCCATCTGGGAGTTGCCAGAACTCCCTGCAGTCCCCCGGGCCCACCACCCTGGTTTCTTGATGGGGTGTCAGCAGCCGTCCCTTTGCTGGTCTCTCCATATCTGCATCCCTGCTCCCCAGCCCTGTTTTCCTCCCAGCATCCAGAGAACTTGATGATACACTTAATGGTGTCATACCTTTGCTCCCCCATCAGAGGTTTCCTCCCTGTGAGAGCAGGTCTTCTCATTCGTGAGGCCCCAGGGTCCATCCCTTGCTCCCTGAATTTATGCCTCTGTTAGCCCCTCCTCCCGTCCTGCCACAGGGCCTTTGCACTTGTTTTTCCCTCGATGGAGACCATGCCTCCACTCCAGGCCCTTTCCTCTAGATCGCTCCTCAGCTCCATTCACGCTTCCTCAGGGAAGCCCTTCCTGACCCCTCAGCTCTCCTAGAGCCGTGTTCTTTTCTCCTAAGCATCTTTTCTTTCCATTTTGTAATCAGACATTTAAAACGGTGAGCTTTTGTGTCTCCTCCGCTAAACCCTCAACTCCAGGATGGCAGGGACCACGTGTGCTTTGCTCACCAGGGCGCCCCCTAGAGCTAGCACAGTGCCCGGCTCCCAGTAGGTGTGTAATACATATTTGTTGCCTGAATGTTTTATAAAAGACAAATAGCCCTTCACACCAGCCAGAATGGGCTGGCCAGGGCACCCGCTTCTTTGTCTGGTGTGGGTGCCCTGGCTGCCTGGCACGTCCCACCCTCTGGGTGCTGCAGGGGGAGGTGCAGATACACCCAACTATGGGGGGCTTCCCGAGTGGGGGTGGGGGGGCCAAGTTCGAGCAGAGACGTCATTTGGGTAGTGCTGGCTGGTGGGGGGCACGTAGCAGTAGGAAAGCCGTGTCCCGGACGTAAGAAGGGCGTTGCAGGAGGCAGTCAGAACAGCAACCGTCTGTCACGCCCGGGAAGCTGCCAGGCCCCAGGCACTGGGGGAACACGAGGAGCTCCTTTTGGCTTTCTGGTGCCTGTGTGCCAAGCCGCTTCACTTGTGTCCGACTCTTTGTGACCCCATGGACTGTAGCCTGCCAGGCTCCTCTGTCCATGGGAATTCTCCAGGCAAGAATGCTGGAGTCGGTTACCATGCCCTCCTCCAGGGCAATCTTCCCGACCCAGGGATCGAACCCATGTCTCCAGCGGCTCCTGCATTGCAGGAAGATTCTTTACCACTGAGCCACGGGGGAAGCCTGTTCCTGTTTGGCTTTGTGCTCACGGAAATGAAAGAATTTCCCTTCATGTTGGAGTGCCTTGGAGCCTTGTTGGGGTTTGTGACTCTCTGCCTCCTAGGAAGGGCCCTAGGGCTGGTATCCCATCCTAAGGGCCAGTTCATTGGTGCCTCCGGAGGATGGCGACTCAAGCACTTTCTGCAGAGCGCTGCCCGTTCCCCACCACCCTGCCCCGCCCCGCCGTCCTTAGGAGGAAGCTGGAAGGCAGGGAGGGCACGTCCAGCTCTGGCCTGCCCAGCCCGCTGCCTCCTGGGTTCCCTGGGGCCCCTCCCGTCCTGCCCACAGCAGCCTGGGGAGCCGCCAGGGCCCTGGTAGAGGGCAGGGCGGGCACCACCTTCTCGGGATGGGCCAGCGTGAAACAGGAGCAGATGGACAGAGCCACACCCCGCTGCTCACTCTGCAGCCCAGCCACCCCACCCACCCTCACCCACCCCCACCCACCCCCACCCGTCCCCTCGGAAGGGAGGAGGGGCAGCTGTTGGGCAGGACAACAGGTCCAGGGACCCAGCCCAGAGGCCTTCCAGGCCACGCAGAGGGAGGGTCAGATCCAATCCCACTCACGGTGGGGACTGGGGAGTGGACCACTACAGATGGAACCGTATTCCTCCAAATTCCTACGCTGAAGCCTCAGCGTGTGGCTGTTTAATTAGTTCCCTCGACTGGCATGGAACCTGTGCCCCCTGCAGTGAAAGTGCCCAGTCCTAACCGCTGGGCCTACAGGGGGCTTCCAGAGTGTGGCCGTATTTGGAGAGAGGGTCTTTAAAGAGATAATGAAGTTAAGAGGTAATTAAGTCCTTGAGGGTGGGGACGTGACCCCCATCGGACTGGTCCCCTTATAAGAAGAGATTAGGACGCAGAGACACCGGGCTGCCGCAGGGGACAGACCAGGTGAGGAGGCAGGAAGGGGATGAGCCAAGGAGAGAGGTCCAGAAAACTCCAGCCCTGCCCATGTGATCTTGGCCTTCCGGCCTCCAGAACCAGGAGAATGTAAAGGTCTGCTGTTAAGCTACCTGGTCTGGGGCGTTCTGCCCTGGCGGCTGGAGCAGACTGATCCACCCACCCTTACAGTGTTGGGGACGTGAGCCAGGCAAGGGGCCATGGTGAGAGCTGCAGGAACAGCATGTGCAGAAGCTAGGAGGCAGGAAGGGCCAGGCTCACGCTGGCCCCTTGACCCAGCTTTCCTGGCCTCCTCCCCTCCTCCCCAGGGCCTGCTGCAGCCGTGTCCTGGCCCTCTCTCCACTGCCCACCACTGCTCCCAGCCTGGACCTCTAGGGACAGGAGCCCAGGGGTCACCCTTGATTCCTCCTCCTCTGGGTGAGCCCCGCAGGCAGCCCTGCCCCCCTCTGCTGGCCTCAGTCTCCCCTCCCCATCAGATGAGTGACCATCTCTAAGCTCCTTCAGCATGGACACTCCAGTCCCCACCTCCCCGAAACCCCACTCTCTGTGGAGTGACGCAGGCTGAAGTTACCCCGGGAAGAATGCGTCGCCCCTGACAACCATTCTTCTCCCCGACTTGGACCTCTCCCTACCGAGGGACAGAGAAGAATGCCCCATTAATCATCCTGGCCTCTCCCTCCAAGTCCTCGGCCCCCCTCCTCCGCTCCCCAGTGGAGGTGGCCCAAGGCCTCCACGCCTTGTTTCATGGAAGCGTCAGGCTCGGCTTCGCCCTCCAGTCCCTGTGCCTTGTCCGAGCCCTGAATCTAGGCAGCCAGGGCGGTGGGAGAGCCCTCGGGGCAGGGGGTGGGAGGGCACTGGGGGCTGGGGCTGGGGAATGGGCTGAGAGTGGGCTCGGGTCATCAGACATCTCTGGGAGCCCCACCCTGTCCCATGAGTCACCCCAAAGGTACATGGCCAGGTAGGTCCTTGGGAACAGACTATTCCCCAGGGCTAGGTGTGTCCTACCTCCCCCCCAGCCCTCCCCGGCTCCCCCAGGCATTCTGGTCCCCATCCCCTTCACACCAGCTCGCCTGCAGCAGCCCCAGTTTGAATACAGGGCCAAGGGGACTCCTCAGGCCCTGTGGGTCTAGGAAGGAGGACTGGGTCTGGGGGACAGATGGAGCTGGCTGGTGCCCCGGAGTGGGCTGTGGGGAGGATCGCCCCCGGTACATATGGGAACTTGACCTGGATCAAGTGAAAAGGGGCATTGAGGGTTGCCCATGTCTGTGGCTTGTGATTACAAATAACATTTCAGGGACTTCCCTGGTGATCCAGGGGTTAAGAATCTGCCTTGCAATGCAGGAGCCGTGGGTTTGATCCCTGGTTGGAAAACTAAAGTCCTACAGGCTATGGAGCAGCTAAGCCTGCACACTGCAACTAAAGCCCGTGTGTCTCAACTACTGAGCCCACGAACCGCAGCTAGAGATTCTCTGGGATGCAATGGAAGATCCCGCTTGATTCAGTGAAGACCCGACACAGCTAAACAGATAATATTTTTTGAAAATAGCATTTCAAATCAGTAGAAATAGGACTGATTTTTCAGTATTTTTTTTTCAATATTTGCAATTTTTTTTTGAGGTTTCATTACCTAGGCATGATTGATTAAACCATTGGCAGTTGATGATTAATCTAACCTCCAGCCCCTCTCCCCTCTCCAGAGGTTGGGGGATGAAGCTGCAAATTTAATCCTTTAATCACGTGGCTGGTTCCCTTGGCAACCAGCCCCCATCCTGTGATTATCTAGGGGCTTTCCAAAATCATAGCAACATAAACTCAGGTGTGGTTGAAAGGGGCTTGTTATAGAAAAACAAACACACACCCATTTCACCTTTATCACTCCAGCGCTCTTTCAGGGAACCAAGGATGCTGCTTTATGAGCTGCGCGCTGGGGACCATGAAGACCTTAATACACATCACTGCAGCCACAGGTAACGGACACAAAGACACATACCAAACTGAGGACAGTTGATGCCTTAGGGAGCGCAGAAATAGGATAGAGAAGGGCAGGAAGAGATTAGGAAAAAAAAGCAAGACCTTGTGCAGAGCAGTAACGCGGGGGCCACAGACTGAGAGAGATGCATAGTCCTTTGCTCCTACGGCCCCTGGGTTAAACACAGATGAAAAGGGGGCCAGTTTCCAACCCCACCACTGCCCGTCCACAGGGCCGAGGAGGCTCCTCTCCCTGTGGGGGCCCAGCGTTCTCATCTGTGTGATGAGATTAATAATCAGGCCTGCCTGCCTGCCTGCTTCTGGGATCTGAGATGAGTGGATGGGCAAGAATGTACTTTCGAAAGGTTGAAGCCGGCTCCTCCCGTGTTATGATGGCCGCTTTCAGCTGCCTTTCAGAAGAATAAAAAAAGAGGAAAAACGTAAATCTATATACTTTTATTACTGCACATTATATTAAAATATGTTACATATTTTAATATATACAGTATAAAAGTATATATTTATACATACTTTTTGTAAGTATACATATATATGTAAGTATAAGTTTTATATACATGTAGGTATATATTATATATACATATAGGTACATATTGATGTATAGAGAGTAACTTAGTGTGTATATATATATATATATATATATATACTGTGCTCAGTCGCTTTAGTCGTGTCCGACTCTTTGCAACCCCAAGCCCGCCAGACTCCTCTATCTGTGGGGATTCTCCAGGCAAGAATACTGGAGTGGCTTGCCAGTTCCTCCTCCAGGGAATCTTCCCAACCCAGGGATCGAACCCGAATCTCCTGCACCTCCTGCATTGCAGGCAGATTCTTTACCACTGAGCAACCAGGGAAGCATATATGTGTATACTATGCACACATACATATTATACTCTCCCATAGTGTGTACACACACACACACACACACACACACACACACACAGGAGAGGCTTGAGAGCAAGTATAGCAAAATGTTAGCAGTTGTTGAATCTGGGTGGGGACTGTATGTAAGGGCATTCTTTGTTCTGTATACTTCCAACTTTCCTAGGTGTGACCTGTTCTGTAATAACAGGCTGGAGAGATACAGAAGCTTTTCCGGGGCTGGGTCTGCCTGGGACTTGCCGGCTGGGCCCCCTCTGGACCAGCTTGTGTCCCCCTCTCTTCTGCCTCCGAGCCCAGCAGCACTGGTCATGTCCTCTGAGAGGCCCACACCCCTGCTTCAAAGTACGTGAGTGACCTCCGTGTCCCATGGCTAAATATCAGCCACAGGATAACCTGCATCTGAAGCCCATCCGTGTAACCTGCAACACACTGAAGTGGCTGCTTTGTGGAGGCCCCCCTGTGCCAGAGCCAGGAGCCCACCCCCTCCACCACGCCATCCTGTGGGGAGGGAGGGGTGGTTCCTGCCTCCAGAAGCTTCCAGCGGGAGGAGGGCCAGGTCCAGAGATGCACTTGATGTAACAATACATTTTATTGCAACAGTTATATAATAAGATGGAGGTACATGTCAGGTGCTGTGGAGGGCATTAAGAAGAGGCACCAAGGCCAATCAGGGGAGTTTCTGGTGATGCCAGACCCTGGGGTAGGTAGGGCCGAAGGACGAGAATTCGCTGGGTATGTAAGGCAGCGAGGGCCCTCCAGGAAGAGCCTGGCCTGAGCCAAGACACAGAGGCGCGAGGCCTTGGGAGAGGGTGTCTCAGCACCTTTTGGTTGAGGCTCCCCATGAACACCTGGACTCCCCCAACCTTGTCTGCCTCCCCTCCCCCTTTAAATATTTTTTTAAATATTTATTCATTTATTTGGCTGTGCCAGGTCTTACTTGTAGCATTCGGGATCTTTACTTGCCTCATATGGTACCTAGCTCCTGGACCAGAGATCAAACCTAGGCCCCTCCCTGCATTGGGAGCACAGAGTCCTAGCCACTGGACCACCTGGGAAATACTGTTCCCTGAGTTTTCCACTCTGGTTTTGGCCCCCAGTTCCCCGGGAGCTGGGCTTCCCTGGTGGTTGAGATGGTAAAGAATCTGCCTGCTAATGCAGCAGACCCAGGTTCGATCCCTGGGTCGGGAAGATTCCCTGGAGGAGGAAATGGTAACTCACTCAGGTATTCTTGGCTGGAGAATCCCATGGACGGAGGAGCCTGGAGGGCTACAGTTCATGGGGTCACAAAGAGTCAGACACGACTGAGCGACTAACACTTCCTTGAGGCCGAGTCAATCACTGGTGAAATACAGTGATGTTCAATCCTGCAAAGTCTAGAACCATTTACTAGCAAGTCCAAGTAAACAGCTGGTCGAAAAAAGTCTACCAGGTAATATACTGTGGGTAGGAATAGTTCCCTTTTTTGAAGTTCACTGCAATAAACAATTTGCACACTCTAAGTATTTTGGGAAAGAAAGTTCAGGTGGGCTGGCAATCAAAGAGATTGTGTATTTGATTATATAGAGATATAAATCAAATGCATTACAATGACTAAAGAATATAATTAATTGTTTTTTAAAATTCAAGTGTCCCCCAAAGGAGTTTGAGTTTTAAGAGGGTGGCTCTGGTCAGGTGTGGAGCCGGACCGAGGCGGGTGCCCGTGCCTGGAGCAGAGAACCCCGTGAGGGGCTGCTCCTCCAGTCCAGGTGAGAAGTGATCAGTACATGCTCTGCCCACTAGCCCTGGACCCCAGCCGAGAACCTTCTGTCTGGAGGAGGGAGTGCCCTGCTCTAGCAGTGGCCAGGGATGGAGAAAGGAGAGAGAAGGTCACCTGGATGAGGAGAGGAGGGAGGGTGATGTGGGGGAGCCCCCTCCCGGGGCCAGGCAGCAGGGGTGCAGCAGGGAGTGCCCTAAGTGCCCCCGGGCTTGCCTTGGGGGTCATCCTCCAATTCTGGGGTCTGCCCCGGCTGGCTGGGTGATCTCAGACAAGCCCCGCTCCCCTTTCTGAGCCTCGTCCAGGACATGAGGATTACTCCCTCCCTCACAGGGTGGCCATGGGGAGCCCTGTGTGCCAGGTTGGAGGACTGTTTGGACGAGGAGATGCCACGGGCCCTGGCAGGACTGCCCCTGGGGCCGCCTGGACCCCAGGGCTGCCGCCCCCTCCCGGGGCCCCTCGCTGTCTAGGCCCTCCTAGAGTGGGGCTGGGGTGTCCGGGCTGGTCTGGCAGCACAGCAGCTAATTATTCTGTTCAGACCCCTCCCTGGCGATGCCAAATCCTCGGGGCCAACAGATTCAGCCCCTAAACCCGTCCGACCAGTTGTCTGGGAGAAGGGGGCGCCTGGGAGGGGCAGCAGGAGGTGCCAGAAGCAGCCGCCCCATCACAGCACAGGGAGCGGAGCCTCTGGGGCTCTGGATGCTGCATAGACCTTCGGACGGACAGACGGTTGGACGCTTGTTCTGGCCATGGGGCTTGGCAGGGGACAGTCTCCGCTGCTGATGGCACTGGTGCCGCTGCTGACCTGCCTCCAGACGGGGATGAGCCTGGGTGAGTGAGGGTCGGGGCAGGGCAGGGGTGGGGGGGGGAGGGGGTGGTGCCCACCCCGCTTCAGGCTTCCGGAGGACAGAGCCCACCTCCCCTAGCTGCCTCCTGAGTCTGAGTTCTGAGTCCTGAGTCCTGAGTCTGGGGCTGGGTCCCAGGTGGGTCAGGGGAGACAGCCCACCAGAAGAGATCACACGGCAGACACCTGTCCCCCTGCCCCCCAAGACAGGGGAGCAAGGAACGCCGCCTCCCTCTCTTTGGGCTTCTCATCCCTGTGTCTCCTGAGTCCAGCTGTCACCGAGTGGCTTCCCTCCTTCCCCTCCACCCTGTCCCCAGGAAAGCTTTAAAGAAGACTTCAGGGGACTTCCCTGATGGTTCAGTGGTTAAGACTCTGTGTTTCCACTGCAGAGGGTGCAGTTTGACCCCTGGTTGGGGAACTAAGATCCTGCATAGCATGGCCAAAAAAAAATTTTTTTTAATTAAAAAAAATTAAAAGAAGTCTTTAAGGATAACCCTCCAAAAAGAAGCTCTGCAAGGGAGCGACCGGCATTGTTCACTGTCAGGCTCTTAAACTGGAAGAACTTAGAGACGCAGCCCCCGACCCCCATTTCTGCCGCTCTGTGCCTTTCCCCAAGCACGAACATTAAGTACCTGCTGTATGCAGGGTGCCCTGGGCCTCAGTGTTAGAGCCGGGAGCTCTGAGAGGGGAAGGTTCAAGCCTTGAACCTTTGGGGCTGAACTGTATGTAATAGAAATGAATCATATTGAAATGAACTGAACCAAAAGAGAAAGAGGGTTTGGAAACTTCCCTAAAGCCCATCTCATCTTTCTGCAGCTCAGGGGGCGCTCTGGCCACAGGGGGCCCCGGAGAGGAATTAGGGGTTCTCAGCTCTTTGAGCAGAGCCTGAAGTGTGGACAGGGCTGTTGGGGGCTGAGAAGGGGCCAAGTTCCTGAAGGGGAGGAAGTCTTGAGGGGGGCGGGAGGTGCAGAGCTCTAGGTGAGGAGGAGAGGTCACCCTGCGCTCTGAGCCAGGACCCATCCCCACGTCTGGGCCTGGGGTCTTCCTGTGTCACCACCGCTCCCCCCACCAAGCCATTCACTCCTCCCATCAAACAAACCACCCTGGACCATGTGGGTGGAGCTGGGGAGCTGGAGAGGTGGGTAAACTGAGGCCTGGAGAGTGTCAGAGCTCAAGGTCACGGGGCTCTGCCAGAGTCCAGCCTAGGGTTCAGGCTTGGGCTCAGGCTCCCCCATATCTGAGTCTCACTCCAGCAAGACCTAAGATGCCTTTCCCAGAACTGACTATGCAGCTGGGGGAGGGGCCTCCTGAGCCTCCCCTGCCCTGTGCGTCACTGATACCCCGGTGACCCAAGGGGGCAAGGCCTCCCCCGGACCTCCCATGGTGCCCACCCCTAGTAGGTTCCCAAGGCAGGGGCCAGGGGCTGGATAGAGTTGCCAAGAAGCCCTCCTGATTATTGCCTGATTAGAAATCCCAGGAAAAGCCCTAACTCCCCCCTCAGACTGGGGCTTGCAGGACCATGCCTCCCCCATCAGACTGGGGCTTCCAGGACCATGAGCCCCCAGACTAGGCTGTGGGGAGTTGGTCATCGTGTTGAGCCTCTTTTCTCTGCCCCCACCCGGCCCAGAGCACATCAGCTACGTGCCTCAGCTCTCGAGCGCCACCCTGGGAGGGAGGCTCACCCAGTCCACCTTCACGCTGGAGCAGCCGAGGGGCCAGTTCAGCCACCCCAGCATCTCCGACTCTGACGCCATCTGGCTGGTGGTGGCCCACAGCAACGGTGGGTGCTGCCGAGGCCTCACTTTTCCCTCCGTGAAATGGGCAGGCGGGCCTGGGGGGAGCAGGGGGTAGGTGGATGTGGCCGCCCCCACCGTCTGACCCTCACTGCCACCCTCAGCCACCCAGAAGTTCACGGCCCCACAGAAGGTGGAGGACACCCCGGTCCCTGCCGACTTCCCCCAGGGAGGCTACTACCTCACGCTGAGGGCCAGCCGGGCTCTCTACCCGGGCGGCCAGCCCAGCAACCAGCTCTGGGTCCTGCGCGTCGGCAATGATACCCGCTGCTCCCCGAGGACAAGAGGCTGCAACCACCCGCTGCCGGGCCCCGGCCCCTACCGGTGAGCAGCCGGGCCGGGGCGGTGGTGGACGGCTCCTGACTGTGTCCAGACCTGAGCCCGGGTGCCTGGGAGCCTGGCTCCAGTTCTGCCAATGGCAGGAGGGGACCAGGGAGGCTGCAGTGAATTGTCCCGTCTTCTTGAGCAGAGTCCCCCGCACACACACTTGAGCCCCCACCCCATGGGCCACCTGGACCACATGGGCAGGGTCTCCCCATCCAGGCCTCTGGGCCCCATCTCATCTCATTCAGGACTTCATTCACTGATGTTCTGTGCTGGGGGACCTAGCCCACTCCACACAGTCCCCAAGTGAGGACAGAGGGTCCCAGAAAGGGCAGGCCATGCACCCAAGGCCACACAGCGGGGACAGTCACAACTGGGATCAGAGCCCCTTCCGGCAGACTCTAAGGCCGTGCTTTTAGCTCCAGGCTGTTCCCCCCAGGTCCTGGGAATCAGGGAGACAGACCAACAGGCACCAGGGTGGGAGCGTTTCAGGTCCCGGGGACTCCCCCTCTCAATGCTGGATCTCCTGTTCAGAGTGAAGTTCCTGGTGATGAGTGACAGAGGACCCATGGCTGAGACAGAGTGGTCCAGTGAGACCCGCCTGCAGCAAGGTATGCGGCCAGGTGTGCAGGTCCAACACGAGGTCTGGGGGCTCTTGCGGACTTGGGGTGGGCTGGGAGGAATGGGCCAGCCCCTAGTCCGTCAGAACTCCTCTCCCAGCCTGTGCCCCCTCCCCATCCTTTCCCGGCTGGGCTGGGAGACTGTTGGTCTGGGGGCTGTTCCAGGTCCCCCTTCTCAGGTCGGATCTTTTTCCTCCCTTCCTGCCCTACCCACCTGTGGCACTCGCCTTGCGCCCTCAGCCGAGGTGCTCCAGGCTGCCCCAGGGCCCCACACCGCGGGCACTGTGGTCATCATTGCCATCCTGTCCGTCCTGCTGGCCATCCTCCTGGCTGCCCTCCTCACCCTGCTCATCTTCACCTGGTAAGTGGACAGGGTCGAGACTCCCCTGGGAGGGTGGGGTCCCTGACCTGGGCCGCCTCTTCCCTTCCCCTTGATCCAGGCCTCCAACTCTGCTCCACATTGCTAGCTATGCTGGAGACGTTTTCCCTGAAGCCCAAACAGGGGTAACAGTTATTGATCAAAGGATCCCCAGTGTTCTAGAGCCGGTGTGCACATTGACCCCTGCCTCCCTCCTCCCTCTGCCTGCCTGACACCCGCTGATGGGTGGGGCCGGTGGGTGGGGCCACATTTTCTGAGCGGACACCATCCTCCCCCTGGTGGCAAGAGCTGGAATTGCACGTTGGGGCCCAGAGCAGACGGTCCGGGTGGATGGAAGTGAATTGTCTAAACTCTGAGCTTTGACTTGAGCGCTCAAGGCTTCACTCAGAACTCAGATGCTGAGGCCTGGTGGAGAAAGCGGTGTCCACAAGTCTTCCTAGAGGAGAGGGACATCTGGTCCCTAAAGAGAATTTGGAGAGGAGGGGGAGGGAAGCAGGTGGGGAGGGTCTGGGGGCCAAGAGTTGCCACAAAGGCCTAGGCCTTGATTCAAGGCTGAGCTGTATCCTGAAGGCCAGAGAGAGCCCGGTTTTGATCAGGGGAAACGCAGATGCTGTTGTGGAGGCATCCTGGGTGTGGGGAATGGAGGAGACCATGGGGGCAGAGTCGTGACAAAGAGCGGGAAGACAGAGCTGCGTTTGCTGAGATTTAGGGGCACAGCGCTCCAGGCTCTAAGCCATGGCCATCAGATTTCAATCGGGCTGTCCGTTCACCATCCTCTCCCTCTCTCCTCTGCCCTCCACTCCCCTCAGGTACGACACTTGCGGGAGCACGCCCATCTCCGGCCCAGGGGAGCTGGTGTTCATGAGAAAATATGATACTCACCACATGTCCAGGCCTTCAGCCGTGGGGGCCTCTTGAGGGCCTCCAGGGGGGGCCCCTGGTGCAGGCTGGGGGCCCACCCTGCTGCTTCAGAGCCCGAGGAGAGAGTGTTTCTAACTAAGGGGGAGGGGAGGGTATCCTTAGCCCAAAGCTTGGGCCTGTCCCTATCAGGAATAAATGTCCCTAACAGCCCCCTGAATGGCTGGGTCGTGGTACACCTTGGGGGTCTCCCTGCGTGCCTGTCCCAGCCCCTCAGGAGGACACAGCATCAGGGGGGAGCCCAGGGGTCCTAGGCCAGCCGAGCCATCCGGGCAGTGAGGATGCATCCTCTGACCCCGTTAGGTCTCGTGAGGCTCACCTGCCCTACTGGGGGCCTCCTCTCTGTGGCCTGTCCTCCTGCCTGGAGGACTCGGAGCTTCTAGGCTTCACCCCCACTCCTGTACTTGCTCTGGGTGGGGGCACGGAAGTGTGTGTAACTCCTTGGAGATGCCTGGGTTCAGATTGGGGCCCCAAACCCCATGCAGGGCACCGAGCATCTGTCGTCATCCACTCTATTCTGGGCCAAGATGACCCAGGCGGAGCTCTGTCCTCACGTCGCCCGGCGCTGTGGGGGGCAGGGGAGGGCAGCCAGCCAGCACAAGAGGTGGAGGGAACACAGAGGAGAGGGCTTCCTGGAGAAGGGGCCGCACTGTGCCAGGTGGCCCCAAGGAAGGGACCCAGGCAGGAGCAACCGAGCGTGCAAAGGCCTGGAAGCCACAGTGACTGCTGGGTGGGCAGGGTGGGCACAGCTGGAGGGTGGGGTGAGGGACAGCGAGGAGGCCAGGAGACGCCCCTTGCTACCTGGAGGACCTCACCCTCTGGGGCACCGGGCAGGGAAGAGGGCGCTGGCTGGGTGCCCAGGTGTCTGCGTCCGGGTGGTGCAAACGGCCCTAAGCCACTGCAGACACATCCGGCTCCTGGTGTGGAGGAAATGCTCACGTGACCAGCTTGGGAGGGGCAGGGAGGGGAGGGGGCACGCGGAATTCCAGCCTCCGCCCAGCGAAGCCTTGGCCTTTCCAGAGCAGCCGTGAGCCCCGACCCTGGGGCTGGCTGACCCTGGACGGATCACTTACCCTCTCTGGGCCTCAGTTTCCCCCTTATGTAAAAGCGGGGGTTGAACTGGGTAACTGTAAGGTCCTGCTCTCCACCAGCACCCGGCATGGGTCGGGCACCGGCAGGAAACAGATGGCGCACTGTCTGATGGGGCAATCGAGAGCGTTTACAAAGGTGTGGGCAGCGTATCAAGGGGACCCAGGGCACCGATGGGGCCATAAACACTCCTGTCCCTGAAGGGCTGGTGGGGTTTCCAGAGCCAGTGAGCAGGAGCCATGGGAGGGGTCTGCCCGGCAGGGGCAGGGGGCAGTAAGCAGACGGATTAAATACCCTGGCCTTTCCCCTCTGGCCTTCTGATCATGCGGCTGGAGGGCAGGGGGTTCTGGATGGTGTGGTCCATGGGGGTTAGGGCTGAAACTTCCAGCCCTTTAGTCAAGTGGTTGCTTCGATCTTAAAGCCATCTAGGGGAACTTCCCTGGTGGTCCGGTGCCTGTGTGTGCTCCACTGCTCAGCCATGTCCGACTCTTTGTGACCCCATGGACTGTAGCCCACCAGGCTCCTCTGTCCATGGGATTCTCCAGGCAAGAATACTGGAGTGGGTGCCATGCCCTCCTCCAGGGGATCTTGCCAACCCAGGGACTGAACCCAGGTCTCCCGCATTGCAGGCGGATTCTTTCCAGTCTGAGCCACCAAGGAAACCCAGTGGTTAGGACTCTGTGATTTCACGGCTGAGGGTGCAGGTTGGATGCCTGCAAGATCCTGCAAGCTCCAAGATAAAAAAAAACCTTTTTTAAAGCACTCTAGGGGCCCAGCCAGAGTCACCTCATTAGCATAAACTGACAAGGGCTCCTTATGAATATCAAAATATGCTCCTGTCACCCTGGCACTCAGAAAATTACAAAGTTTTAAGAGCTCTGTCCCAGGAGCCAGGACAAAGACCAAGTCAGTTCAGTTCAGTTCAGTCTCTCAGTCGTGTCCGACTTTTTGCGACCCCATGAATCGCAGCACGCCAGGCCTCCTTGTCCATCACCAGCTCCTGGAGTTCACTCAAACTCATGTCCATCGAGTCGGTGATGCCATCCAGCCATCTCATCCTCTGTTGTCCCCTTCTCCTCCTGCCTTCAATCTTTCCCAGCATCAGGGTCTTTTCAAATGAGTCAGTTCTTCACATCAGGTGGCCAAAGTATTGGAGTTTCAGCTTCAGCATCAGTCCTTCCAATGAACACCCAGGACTGATCTTCTTTAGGATGGACTGGTTGGATCTCCTTGCAGTCCAAGGGACTCTCAAGAGTCTTCTCCAACACCACAGTTCAAAAGCATCAATTCTTTGGCGCTCAGCTTTCTTCACAGTCCAACTCTCACATCCACACATGACCACTGGAAAAACCATAGCCTTGACTAGACAGACATTTGTTAGCAAAGACCAAGTATACAGTTCTTATATCACGACATCACAGAGCGGGCACAGACCAACTTCGTGCCAATCCTGTGGAATCAGACCGGGCCCCATCTTTGTGGTCTCCAGACTGGAGAAAGGGGCCACAACCTGTCCTAGATGGAGGGCTGCCTGAAGTCAGGGTGAGGGGCGTGCAGAAAGGGATCTGCAGGAGGTGACCCCTAAGTCGGGGAGGTCAAGGGTCCTGGCTGCTTCTGCCTGGATGGATGTCCCAGAGGACCTCAGGCCACCATGTTACCCCACAGCCAAACCTAGAGCTGTCCCCTGGCCTCCAACCCCCTCAGGGTTCCCTGGGCCTCTAGCCACCACGCTGAGTTCTGGAGAAGACCCTGATCAACCCCTGTCCCAGACCACAGGCCCCCACCGGGGACAGGCACCACTCTCTGTGACAGACACAGCCCGGCCATGAAGCCTCAGCCAGTTCCTGAGCCCAGAGCCCAGCCGTGGGTGGTTGAGAGCCCAACACGGTGTGGGTAGGGCGTCCTCCCACCCCCCTCCCTGAACCCCACCCCAGGCTCTCACCTGGGGTGGCTTTCCTGGGCTGGCTTTCCTGGGCTCTCTGGGGCCTGGGAGTCCAGGACTGGGCTGGAGGGGAAGGCCTCGCGAGCCAGGGTGGCTGGCCCATAGAGCTGCTGACCGGGATCTCGATGGAGCAGAGAGGGAGCGTGAGCCCCAGAGCCGTGTTTTGAGACCTGCCCTCAGGGAGAGCCACGCGGGGCGATGCTGTGGAGCTCCCAGGGCCCCGAGGAGTGTCCTGTCCCAGCCCCAGCCCTGGTGCCCTGTCTGACCCCCCTCAGTTCTCTCGTGCATGTAAAGGATGAAAGAGATGATCGGTAAGGTCCTCGGGTCATTCAGTCCCTCCTTGTTCATTCATTCATTCATTCCCTCCTACGCTCAGCAGACAGTCACTGGCTCCCGTCCTGGCCCTCAAGGCCAGTCCTGCATCAGCAGGGGCTCAACTTGCGTAGAGGCCGTCATGGGACGGAGACACCGACACTGTTGCCGGGAGCAGGGGCGGTGGGTGACAATGACCACGCCAGCCCACTCAGCGCCCCAGCTGTTAGGCGCACAAACCTGGGGAAAACAGACTCAGGGCCAATGACCTTGAGCCATGAAGCGACACCCAGCGGGGCACACAGCCTCTGATGTCAGCCTGATGGGCGGACGAACAGGTGAGGGCAGAGGACCTGCTGTATCCCGCTGCCCTTCTGTCCTTTTTTCTGTGTCTCTCTCTCCCTGTTATCCCCCACTCTTACCTTTCTCTGCCTCTCACTGCGTCACTTGTCTCTATTTTTAACTCTGACAAGCCATGGGAACTCTCTCGCTTCCTGGGGGAAAGCCGTCTGAGCTGGCCCGGAGATGGGCACGACCATTTTCCAATAAACACAAGATAAAATCAGAAAATGGGCTTCTGTTCCAGGTCCGGGCTCAGTAGGGGAAAGGGGCAAAACTGAAGCCAAAAGGAGTGAGAAAGAGAAGGTGTGTCAGGGGCGGGGACGGTTCACGACCCATCACTCCAACCGGCAGGTATGCGGGGGTCCCCAGGGGCCCTCCCCGACGCCCTTTGCAACCTCCCAGCCCCCCATCTCCGCGCCTGGCTCCTCTCCAGACACCCAGCTCTCCCCTGCAGCAGGAGCCCAGGTGGCCCCGCTGGACTATTGTGCCCCCTTTTCCCCACAAGTGTGTATGTGCCCCTCCACCCTTTGGCATGGATCAGGGGCTCCACTGGGAATGCTGGTTCACACGGAAGGGTCTGAAGACCTCCACCAGCCTAAGCTCCCCGGGAGACGTTTCCACCCGGGCCCAAAGATGCGAGGGTGTGACCTGAGAGAGTTCTCTTCAGGGTCCTGTTGGGAGGTCCCTTCTCGGAAGGTAGTCCAGGCTGAGGACGTGGTCCTCCCAGGACCCTCTGATTGGCCCCAGGCCGAGATGCAGGCTGCCCCCCGGTGGCCCTGGGGACTTTTGCAGAGCTGGGGACGTGGTGTTGCCTGCTGGGTGGGTTTGAGCTGCCCAGAGTCAGCCCCGAGATTCCCTGTCATTCTAGCAGCTTGAGGGCTAACAAATGCTGTTCCTTTCGCCCTCCTGCTGCTGTTCCCATCTCCCCACCCCTCTACCTGGAGCTGAAATCCCCCTGGTCCTTCAAGCCCACCTCAAATGTCACCTTCTCCTCGTGGCCACCCCTGTGACTTCCTTCCATGGCAAGTTTATTGCCCCCTCTGAACCCCAAGGACTCCAAGAATATCTCCTGGCCGCCCTCAAAACCGCCTCTCCATGCATCCCTGGTAGGATAGAGGCTGAGAGGCCAAGGGCAGCGGAGACAGAGGCTGGGAGACTCAGAGCGCCCCCCCTGTCCCTCCACCCCACCCAGTCACTCCAGCCCAACCCAGCGGGGGCCACAGGCAGAGGGCACAGCGATGCCAAGGATCCTTGTCCAGCACCTACTGGACACCAGAAACTGGACTGAACAATTCACGTACGTGGACTTCACATCCTGGGGGCCATCCCGTGATTAGCGTCATTTTACAGATGAACAGACAAGGGTGTGGTAAGTGCCACCAGCTGGCGGTGGGACCCGAGGGGTCTTAGAACTTTGCTGGAGGGGAGGGGAGGGGGCCGCAGGGCCCTGGGTGGGGAGCCCGGGGTGCCCAGCCCCCGGACCCCTGCCTCTGATCTGGGCTGCAGCCAGGGTTGTCCCCTGCCCTTCTCCCACTCCCACCCCCGGCTTCCTCAGTAGGAGGATGTTTCCACTCCTTTCTGGAAGGTTCAGGAGGTTAACGGGGCCAAAGCACGTAACACCACTCAAGGGGATGAAGTTCTGGGAAGAGAGGAACCTGGGTCTGGGCTCAGGGCCAAGGGCGGGGCAGGCAGTGACACCTCTGCTCGCAGAGCCTGACCATGAACTGTCCCAGGGCCGCAGCTTACCCCTCCCCTGGTCCAGCCACAGCCCCCTGAGGAGTCTCCAAGAATGTCAGAGAAGGGCCTCGACAGGGCAGGAGACCCCTTCTCTTCCCACCGTGGACGTGGTCCAGCCTGATCTGTTTGGGACGTGGACCCCTGGGGCCTGGGGCGGCTGGCGGATATTGATGTGGTTGTCCCCAGCTGGCCTGCCTGGAGTCTAAGTTTTAGTTGGCGGGGATGAAGGGAAGGGCAGATTCTCAATCCCGCCTGGACCCCAGAGGGACACCAAGGCCGCAGCAAGGCCCCCGGAAGTTCAAAGCTGCAGGCAGACTGGACCTTACGCCTACATCTCCAGGCTCAGTGCCCAGGGCGGGGACATTTATCTCGGGCTGCCCCCCGCATCCCACCTTTCTGTGCATCCTCTCCCTCCGTCATCCTCCCGGGGCTGTGTGCTGAGCACGGGGGACAGGAACAGCATGGCCACAGCCCCTGTCCTGTGGAACAAAGTGGCCAAGACGGAGGGACACATCCCAAGCAGATGGCCCCGCAGTGCCATGGGAAGCGCTTCCAGTGCAGGAAGAAAGTTCTGTGCTCTCGTGGGGGAAGGAGCTCTCGGCTTGCTCA